TGCCCAAGGCGGGCCTTACAAGTGATTCTGACCTACACTGACGAGTAGTTGAAAGGAGGCTGGAGGAGCACCGGCAGCTCAGGCCGATTGAGCTTGCTACAGAGCCTCCTAGTTGCATGACGCACTTGGTGAGTTCGTTGTATAAGCGATTAGGTAATATGGAATTTGACAATGGACACTTTTATAGAGCGCTCCAGTATTACAGCAGAGCCCTACAATCTCAGTTGAGGGTGCGTGAGATGGTTGGGGACTCAGAAATTCAGAGCACTTGTGAACAGATAAGAGAGTCTATCCCGCAAGGAGTTGCAGAGAATGATATCAACAATGTCCATGCCAACGACCTTGCTTGATTAAGGTTCTCAGGATCTCCCGCTGATGCTCACCCAGTAGATGTCATAGTTCACTCGTTCTGTGTTCTTGCGCCCATAGTTTTTTGTTATGAGAGTCAAAGAATTCCAGCAGATCAAACAATAGCCGATGTCATTTCAGAAGCCCTTCTCAGGGACGACGTTGTACAGGACGCATTCTGGATAGAGCTTTGCTTGGAGAGAGTGTTTGTGGGAGAATACGTTTGTTCTAAAGCATATGACAGGGCAGCTGAGGTTTGTGTCATTCGGTCAAGATTGAAGACGGATCTCGAGGAGCGGTTGAGAAAGCTCTCTTCAGCGGATAAATATTAGAGCATGGCTGGTCAATTGAAAAAATTTATTGAAGTGTTTCGGGAACTGATGGGCGCATCCGCGAGCCTGGCTGATTGCCAATTGAAAACTAAAGCTCGCATCTGTCTTTCTGCTTCCACTCTTCTTTTACAGAGATGGTCAGAGTGAGAATGCAACTGTGGCAAAGGAGGAGGCTTGGAACCTCTGTACCTGCGTGGGCTCATGTGAATATTGCGCCGCAGACATTGCCAAGGGGATGGTCCACCTCCTTAATAACTACACACACCAGAACAATTACTCGCATACTTGCAAACTAGTTGACTCCGTGGATGCACACACTGTACAACACTCAAGACTTCATCTCGATTGCTACTACCGTGCCCCGCACGATATTGCTTTCTACGCGAATATATTGGTGGTATCTAGCTGCCACAGTACTCCGTTGCCCGTTACCAACTCTCGTCGACACAAGCTTCCCCAATACTGTCATCAGAAGCCAATTCGTAGTATAATATGAGTTCCTCCGTTGCACCTCACCAAGCCACTGCTAGCACCTAGTTTCGAAACCTCAAGACCCTAACTCTGACAGAATCAAATGGTAACAAGTTGTTACATGGGCCTAATTGCAACTGCAGTGATATCTTCTGAAGATTTGAATCCATCTCGTCTCCATTACTCTCTCAGAACAATCATGGGAGGTCAGATCACATTCGAGAAACATGATTTTACAATCTCCCAGTAAAAAGAAAAAAACAAAAAACAAAAAACAAAAAAAGTCTTTCATATAAAGTGTAAGGGTGCTTACAGAGCCCGTTTTAGCACATGTTCGCTATGAATGTTTCAGTAGCATATTGTCAAATTTACAGACAGGATTCAACAAAACTCTACAAAGCTCAAGTGTAACAAATTCCAAGGAAGTACTCAGCATCCACTTCTACCCCACCACCTCCAAATTCTCTGTGTAGATTTGACAATATGCTACTGAAACATTCATTGGTGCTTGGTTTCATTGTTTGCCAGCACAGGTGATAGGCGGGCCCACTCATGGTGGTTTCCTTCGCCAGGTGCTTGGTGCTCAAGCATAAGGCTTCCTCGTCGGTCTGCATATCCATGTTGTCAGCATGGTCGGTCAATGAACTCCGTGTCTGAATGTTGAATCTCCGCAACTCCTACAATTGGTCCTGAATTTCAAGCATGACAAGCAAAGGCATCCAGCAAAGCGCAAATAGAGGAATATCTATATCACAGACAATCACAGTGATGGAGAGCACTGCACTATCGTCTAGCATCACCGATATTGCAAACAGCAACGACAGAGTCTGCACATTTGTATATAAAACTTATCAAGTTTCCAAGGCAAGGTTTGCTGCTGGTTCAGTTTTAGACTTTTAGAGCGGCGCACGCTTCGGATGTTTCCAGTTTTAGACTAGTGAAGCAAGGGTTGATGACGCCCAAGATGAGGGTCATCTTTAGAACTCTGTTGCGGAAGCACTTCACGTTGGAATTGGAAGCGATCACAACTGTGAAGCAGCTGAAGGCCAAGCTGATGGAGGTCGAAGGGCTTCCTGTGCACTGCCAACGTCTGATTTTTGAAGGAACGTGGTTAGAATGCGAAAGCAAGAGCCTGCAAGATTACGGCATTCACGAAGGCTGTTTGGTGCACTTGTCTGTTGTACAGGGTCTCAAGCGTCCAATATTAAAGATTACTCGTGACGAACTTCTTTGTCCCTGTATGAAGGTTGAGGTTCAATAAACCGGTAGTCTACTATGATGTATAGGGCAGTTGCGTGCTAGTGCGTATACCCAATTCTTACTAACTTAGAATCGGTAGAAAAATCGCCTGGTGTGGGGCTTAATTTGCCTCAGCTCAGAGCACCACTTGTTTCTTGACCTAATTTTCGTCAGGAGCACAGCCTTGTGTGAGTATGGTAGTCACTACTTGTGGACAAGCCTTGGGCGTTGGATTCGCGAACATGTGCTAAAACGGGCTCTGTAAGCACCCTTACACTTTATATGAAAGACTCAGGAGCACAGCCTTGTGTGAGTATGGTAGTCACTACTTGTGGACAAGCCTTGGGCGTTGGATTCGCGAACATGTGCTAAAACGGGCTCTGTAAGCACCCTTACACTTTATATGAAAGACTCAGGAGCACAGCCTTGTGTGAGTATGGTAGTCACTACTTGTGGACAAGCCTTGGGCGTTGGATTCGCGAACATGTGCTAAAACGGACTCTGTAAGCACCCTTACACTTTATATGAAAGACTTTATTTGTTTTTTGTTTTTTGTTTTTTTCTTTTTACTGGGAGATTGTAAAATCATGTTTCTCGAATGTGATCTGACCTCCCATGATTGTTCTGAGAGAGTAATGGAGACGAGATGGATTCAAATCTTCAGAAGATATCACTGCAGTTGCAATTAGGCCCATGTAACAACTTGTTACCATTTGATTCTGTCAGAGTTAGGGTCTTGAGGTTTCGAAACTAGGTGCTAGCAGTGGCTTGGTGAGGTGCAACGGAGGAACTCATATTATACTACGAATTGGCTTCTGATGACAGTATTGGGGAAGCTTGTGTCGACGAGAGTTGGTAACGGGCAACGGAGTACTGTGGCAGCTAGATACCACCAATATATTCGCCTAGAAAGCAATATCGTGCGGGGCACGGTAGTAGCAATCGAGATGAAGTCTTGAGCTCGTGCGTTCATGCCTCTTTGACATTTCTGCACAGCTCAGTCGCAGAATTGTTCCCATATTCCCTATGCCCCTACAGCAGTCGAGGAATCCATTTTAAAAGTCAGCGAAAAAAACTTTCAGTCATACTTCGATGAACCCGTCCGGAGGAGTGTCCCAAATGGGATCCGATGGACTGACCTCACATGAAAAGCACCTCCGAACATCGGGAGCCTGGACGTGGCGGTCGGTTCTAGTGCGCTTATCTTCTGAGTAGGCTCGAACTAAGAAAGACTGAACACATCACCTTGGTGTTAGACTTCCTATCGCGGCTTTTGCTACTTGGTTTCACGCTGTGGGTAGTCTGAAAAAAAGCACCACTTGCGATTTGGTCTCCATGTTCTGGGTCCCAGCTTAAACCCTGGAGCGCTCGACCCATCTACAGGGATCCAGTGTTTGATGGGCCCCCCGAAGATGCCGTTGTAGATACTATAAAGGATTAAACTGCAGGTGGATCAGGTTTCATTCGGTAAAGGCAGCTACTCCTTCATCCCTTTGCCAGCATAGACCACAGCAGGGAAATAATAGCATATGATTTCTAAGCTTGGCGTGTTCTAGCCAATTTCAGCATTCGCAAATCATACGATACCGCATTTGACCGTCCAATGAGAGAAAACTGAAAACTCGCCAACTTTTGTTGCGTTGCTTGTGCTTCCGAAATCAGCTTTTTAAAGCCCATATTTATCTTCAACTCTGTCAGCCACGGTCAGCAGCAATGTGGACAAAAACGAAAAGCAATGTCATATTGTTTTAAGAACTTCTCTCTGTAAATGGTAACCGCAACACCTAGAAAACATCACCAATGATTTGGTAAACGTTGATTTAGTTGATTTGGCTGATTTTTCTAGTTTTTGTCGTTTTCATGAAGATGAAGTTTTAAAAATTAAACATTTATGAAGAAATGTTAGTTTTCTTACGCTTGCCAGGGCAGTCGCTTCTAGAAGAACAGCTAAACGAGCTTGGTAAACCTGATCAATTATCTTTTGTTGCAAGAAACTGAATACTGAAAAATAGTGCATCATGATAATAGTATTCTCCACCAGGACCTTCAAAAACAATACAAGCTGTACTTCCATTGTTTACAGAATGTCATCTCTCCAGGGTAGGGTTTAGGGCTTGCAGTATATTCATAGCCGATGCCGACGTAAGTGGATTCACTCGCTGGAAAAGCACAGCAACAAAATTAAAACACATCGAAGTCCACGCTCACGTTCGAATATACTCCAAAACGCTCACTCCCTGATGTCACGATGTCTTACTCCTTGCAGCCTCCTGCATGTACTTTTGAATCATAAGCGAAACCCACTTTCAACGTAGGTCAGCTTGAGAACAATCGTGCAGACACTGGCGTACGAAGAAACTGTTGGGTAGCCGCTGCACGATTACTTGTGCTCTCCTTTTTCAGAACAATATCTATCACAACATTGCAATTCAGTACGCTCGTGAGTGGCGAGTATTGCACCGGATACAGACTTGATCTATATATCAGACTGTCGCCTTGAATATGATGTGAAAGAAATTCCCTGGAGCAAGAGAGTTGGTGCCCAATGCTGCTGGAAAAACCCAAAAAAAACACCGACTATAGGATTCAGGGTGATAATATATTTAATAAATGGCCCACATGGAACAATTCTTTCACGCGCCCGCTGGACCTGCCGCAGTGACTTGACTTTCAACCACGGCGCAGATTGTCCGATGAACTCGCTCTCACCAACCAAACTCGTTGCCGACAACCATAGATCCTAGACTTGCGGAGATGGTGACTGGTTCATCCAAATCCACGGTGATGGTGTAATTAGGGGAAGAGTCTCTGAAATTGGGACGCGATTGAAGACCTAGTCGCCGAGTTAAAAAAAACACGTTCCGCGTTGCCAAGGGCGATGTGGGAGGCAGCTTCCAGGAGCGGGCGGTTGTGGTTACTTGGCCCGACTATTACTGAAAACCAGAGTTATAGACGATCGACAAGCTCCGTTTTTGTATCATGCGCCTTGATTTTGTGAAGTCGCACAAGAGAGCTAGAACAGAGGCGACGACTTGCACGCCGGACTGCTTCAGGTGGGTGATTGCGTATTCACCTTCACGTCTGTTGGTTGATGGGGACACGTAAAATTTGGGGTTGCAGAGGAGGAGGAGGTGCTGGGAGTTTTGGTTTTTTGTTTTTTCTTTAATTGTTGCTTGTTTTGTGGTTGGTGACATAGAGGCTTCTTGTTTCGAAGCAGGAGTGCTCTGCTTGGGGTTTTGACTTGAGGATGACATGGAGATGGTTTTACGAACTAAGACATGGCGTTTTCTTTTGTGTACTGATTGGGTTTTGCTGGTGCGGCGGCCGTTGGAGGTCTTGAAGGACCGTTTTGTCAGAAGCCACAGACTGACGAAATTGCTGTATTGCAGGGCGTTATTCGACAAAGTGTGTTGAAGACCTAGCCAGACACCATGGGGTGCAGCAATGGACTTACGGGGTTTCTGAATTTGTTAACTTTCTTACTTTCCTTACCGATCATTGCTCTTGGGGCATATCTCGCGAAGACGCATGATTCAACTTGTATGCGCTTCTTGCAGTATCCGATCATAGTTATTGGAGTGTTCATGCTGCTCATGTCCCTCGCTGGCATGATCGGCGCTTGGTGCGACAAGAAGTTTCTCCTACTGATCTACCTCTTCTTTATGTTTATCCTGATTGTTCTGCTCTTCTGCTTCACAATCTTCGCATTCGTGGTGACGAATTCCGGCGCCGGAAGTGCGGTCTCTGGGAAAGGATATAAGGAGTACCGACTTGGTGATTATTCTAATTGGTTGCAAAAGAGAGTCGACAATCCATCTACCTGGGAGAAGATCAGAAGCTGCATACAGGACTCTAAAGTGTGCAGCGACTTGGGCAAAAAGTACACCACAGAAACTGATTTTAACAAAGCCTCTCTTACTCCTCTCGAGGTAAATTGCTTCACCAATTTCCTCTACTTCCAGAAAGTTAGAATTGCAGTGTGGCTGTTATTATCCTTGGAGAGTATGTTTGGTGTGTTTAAGATGCTAAGGAAGTCATTCCTTCTTGTCCCGATCCTAAACTGAGTGAAACACTGAAATGTTTGCTGCATTCTTGGCACCGGGAGGCTGATTCAAAATGCTTATATCTGAATTCGGAATGCAGCATGCTCAAATAAAAAGTAAAGAATAGGATTCATGTTTTACTCAAATCTTTGCAAACTAGGAAGCTTGTTATCCGTGAAACTAAATCCCTACCTTGGTCGACTTTGTATTGACAGTCTGGATGCTGCAAGCCGCCAACGGCATGCGGTTACAAATTCGTGACCCCCATAGAGTGGACGGGAACTAATTCGACTGCAGATGCGGACTGCGGAACTTGGAAAAACACCCCTCAAGAATGGTGTCTGGGTTGCAATTCCTGCCGAGCTGGAGTTTTACAGAATGTGAAGTCCAACTGGCGTAGGGTCGCCATTGGCAACATTATTGTGCTGGTTTTCCTCGTCATTGTGTATTCCTGTGGATGTTGTGCATACCGAAACAATAAGAGATATGACAAGGGCTATGCGTAAGCAAACTTGAAGAGGCAGCCAACAACGCCATGGATAAGTGCCTTGAAAGACAAGTGGGGACTACCTGAAGTTATTGTGAATACAAAAGAAGGTGTTGATGAAGACATCATATACATCTAGAACCAGATGTACTAGACTCTTAGGGCAACGCGGATGATATTCTTACTTGCAGAACTTAGATAGGTTACCGGCTGGTTTTAGTGTTTATTATTTCTAGCTCTTTACTTTGCTCTCAAAAAGTTGAGATCATTCAGTGGTTTGAAGGTTGATGAAATCTTGGAGTCAAATTCATGCAGCACCCACAAAGGGCTGTAAGTGTTGGGACTGGTTCACATACTGTTGCACAAGTGAATGTTAATTCTATCACTTGTGCCACTACTGAGAAACCATGATATAAGCTTATTGTTTTTTTTTTTAATTTTTTTTAAAATTTTAAGTGTGTGTGTTACAAATGTCGCTCTACTATTTCGATTCTTCAATTGTTAAGTTTTCTCTTAATTGTTTTTGTATGTTCCGTTGTGGCTGTTTGTTTGGGTCTCATGACATGAACTTCTTCGTATTGTTTTGTTCGCACAGACAAATCCTTTTGGGTATTACATAAGTTTTACCCTATCCTTTGTACCTTGCTAAGACATTCCTGTGCAACACTGCATTTTAAAAGCCTCAATTTACTTTTTATTTTTCCATTTTTATACCTTTGAGTACATCATTGTCTTTGCAACTTTTCAATGCACCTTAGATTGCGTGCTGTAAGTTTTCCATTACATGCTTTTACCGTTATTCCATTAAATCTACATATATTTCAACCAATATTAGAATAGTCAAACTAACCTTGATTGATTAGAGATTCAATTCAACTATTGAATAGTATATAGATGAGAACATGTCTTATTAATTTTTTTCAAATGTACTATATTTAGTAAGACATAGAACTTGAAGAGCTCTATTAGATGCTTGGCATTGGTATGTGTTATGTGCATACTTGTTTTCCATTAGGTTACAACACAACCTAAAAATTTGATTCTTTGATAAAGATATTATTAATTGCTGTCGACTTTGATATTATTTAAAATGTGAGTATAATTATTATAAAAATATAATAAAATAAGACAAATAGATTAGAATAAATTTTTTTTTGGATCACATGAAAAATTATAATTTTTTTAGACAAATTATTTGAACAACATTAATGTTTTTTATTTACATTTATGTCAAATTTAGTAAACAATTACAACAAGTAGATGTCAATTTAAAATATTAATAACATATTACTTAATGTATAATTGATAATTAAGAATGGTGATTTTAAAGTTATTTCAATTAAAATATATATATCTAAAAATATTATAATATTATTTAGTTTTTTTTTTTTTGTAGATTTAATTACATAAATATCAATAAAACAATCACTAAAGAAAAATTTAGTTTCTATTATATTTAAAAATTCTCTACATTAATTTATATATATATATATATATATATATATATTGGGAAATAATAAAGTGACAATTTTTTTTTTTACTAAATCCACCTAAATGCCATGTTCCCAACTGTTATCTTGTTCTCAACCATCGCCCCTATTTTTGAAGTTCCTAGTCTCCCAAATGAATTGCTTTAGTAAAAATTTGGGTTGCTTTATCATTCCCTTAAATATACATATATATATATATATATATATATTCTCTTCTTATATAAATAATACCATGTAAAATAAATAAATAAATAAATAAATAACTAGTTGTTTGATTTAGAATTTTTAAATTATTCTATTATATAAAAATCTAGTAATGGAATGCAAATACTAAAATAAAATTGATTATTTTATTTTTAAGAGGGATGTTGTAATTTAAAATTATGATGTATTTAAAATTATATTTTTAATTATGCATAATAATTAATATTAGTTAGTTTATTTTAATATTTTAAATACTTTGTAGCATAAATTTAAGCAACATATATTTTTTTAATATTTTATTTAGTTGTATTATTAATATTAGTTACAAATTATTTTTTTTGATATTATGAAGATTCCTGAAATAATTATTATTTGACATATTTTTGCAACAACTTACACTATGATTTTGATAAATAAATATGTTTTGCTATTCTTAAAGCTATTTCAAAATTGAAATATAAAAATAAAATTTAGTAATAATTGAAGCACAAAATTCAAATCAACAAAATTAATAAAAATTTAAATTGTCAATGCTTATTGTCACATAAACTATAAAGTAAAATTATTTAATTAATCATGTTTGTAATTATAGTTCAAAAACAATGTTTTAATACCAATACAGTTTAGCATCCATTTAAACATTGTTTATAATAAACAAACATTATTTTCATTCTTACTTTTTTGAGTTAAATTAATATCCATATATTTTACTTTAGAAAGCAATTATCATTACTATTATAATACACATACATACATACATACACACACACCCATATATATATATATATATATATATATATATCATTTTTATGTCTATAGCATGTGTTTAGATGCATATTTTGTATTTGGACTCAATTATCTTTAGATTTTAATTTTAGATAGAAATAATTCTTATTTTAAAATCTAAAATTACAATCTTACTGATTTGGTAACAAAAATAAAATATGTTCACTTGTTTATTGGTGCTTACAATATATCTTTTTCTCTCGCCAAATATATTTTTACCCTAAATGGCTTTCACATGCACAATTATTTCCTTATTTACCATATTACTCAGAATTCCAACTTGTTAAGATTGCATCAGTAGTGGTTATTGTTGTGCTGACACGACGGTATTCAAAATGGAGCCGTCCACGTCAGCAAGAATCACTGTCGAAAAGCCGACGTGGCGTGGAAGGGTCATAACCAATGGGAGCCTCGACCTCGCCCTCGACCCCGCCCTCTCCCGCTTCTTCCCGCGGTTCAGTTCCCTTGTTGCATTGCGGGATGGCCATGCCCTTCGTCTTCCGCCCTTCTTCGTCTTCCACCAATCTTCCTCACCCTCTGCATCTGCGTTTGTGCGCATTGCTGCTCCCTTTTGTTGCATTGCGGGATTTGGGTTGAGAGTAGTCGCAATGGAGGAAGCGGATCTAGACGAGCTGGAATGGATGGCGTGTCAGCAGTTCCCGCCTGAGGAAGACGAAGATTATTACGACGGCTACGAGGAAATGCCTCCGCCACCTGAGCATCCTCCTGGTGCGTGTGTCTTTTCAAATTTTTCTGGATGAATTTCAATTTCTGTGAGTATGTTCTGGATTTTATGACCTTGTGAAATCGTTTTGATAATTTATCATTTCTTTGAAATAAGATGGTATGAGGCGTCTAATTCGGAGTTATTTCTAGGGTGGACCATTTTTCCATTGACATGAATGGTTGGAATCTGTCGTTTTTTTTTAACGCTACTCGTGATATCTTTGAACTTTAGCTTACACCTTGAAGGATTTATTCCGACCTAGACGGTTGAATTTGAATACATTAGAGGGAATTTTATTAGGACTTTGGTCTTCCAACATTGAGAGCGTGTCTTTGTCTTTGATTTTTGCAGAAACCGACCGTATAGATGAATCATTTTCTCATGATGACAGCTCTCGAAAGCGGCCCTGGTATGTTGAGGATTCACACGACCGGGAGTCATCTGGAAATGCAGGTATAACGACCTCCTACGGAACTTATGTTGGGATGGATTGTATCATTGAGTTGCTTTCAGAAATCTACTTCATGTATACGACCCCTATGTCATTAATTCTGTAGTGATTTATGAACACGATACTGCTTATATTCGTAGTGTCAAGTGTCTTTTTAAGATGAATTCAACAATCAGTTTTGTTATGCTTCAAATGCTTGTTACACATGCCATTGCCTTTGCATTGACTGAATGATGTGGACGTGTCTTTCCAGTAGCTGTGAAGAAACACCGCGGTTTACTGTCAGATCCAGCGGGGACTTCATCGAAAAAATCCCTTTTTATACCTGGAACGGTTCTAAATCCCCCGACACAGAATACAGTTTCTCTTCGTACTTCCCCAGCTACTTTTACAAAGGGTAGTCCAATTCCTTGCACAGAAGGACAACCGTTGGCATCGGTCTTGGCGGCAGACCCGTGGACACTCCGGCCGCCTCCTGCAACCGAGGAAGTCTGTCACATGTCTCCTAGAAACCAAGAAGAAGAATACATCGAAGTACCAGAAGTTCCAACTTCATGCAAATTACCTCGTCGATGTGTTACAGATATAGATGGCGATTTCATCCCAATCACCGGTCTTGATGGTGATCGAGTATATTCTGCAAAAGTAGAGCCTGTCAAAGCCAACTACAATTTGACCGCTCTTCATAATAAAGGTGCAGTTCCTGATTGGTAACTCTTCATATGTTTGATTGCGATTCTGAGGGGGACAAAGAGGAAATATCATAGTTCTCTTTGCTTAGATCCCGGTTATTGTTCTGAAGCTGAGTAGTTCATTTTAGAGATGTTTTAGCGCCACTTGCTTCTTAGTTTACTTGGTTTACGTCAGTTATCATAGTTTTCATGTCTGCGACTGAGCCATTAGTGCAATTGAGGGTCATTTCTTGTGTGCAGTTCTTTTTGCTTCTTTTCCGTGTAAGCCCGCATATGGCAATGAGTGATAGTCTTGAGGTACTATGAGTTGCAGATCTGCTGGGAGAGCCGATTGCAAAAATGATCGAAAGGATCGAGCGGGAATCATTTGAGCAGGTTGCCAGCAGTTACTTATTCTTTGTACATTTAGGGTTGATGTATTATGATCTGCAACACCCATTATATGGTCGCTGTCTTGTCTGCTAACTAGGTTCATTCGTCTATCCTTAGCGTATTTGCAAGCCATGTTTTGTAGGAAATGTCTATCATTCTGTAATACAGCGAAGACGTCTTTAAGACAAATCTGAGCACTTCTGATTATCAACTCAGCTTTGAAAGTAGGTTATTGCAGCAAGTGACAAGAAAATGCTCTCAGCTGATACGATTGGAACAGTACCTGCCTCAGAGCACGAAGACCTGTGGGTTGATAAATATGCACCTCGGTCGTTTACGGAACTTCTTAGTGACGAAAAAACCAACAGAGAGGTAATTTTCACCTGACCCTCTTGTCAAGTCTTGCTGCACGCTCAATAATAACCAGAGGGACCCAGTCACCTAGCTTTACTAAAGCAATGTTAGCTCTTAGATTTGAACTTTCATACTTAAGTCATCAGAGTGTTGAGTTTCTTCTTAATTTGTCCCTTTTGCTACGTGGTGTTCAGGTTCTTAGATGGTTGAAGCAATGGGACCCTTGTGTTTTTGGATCCAAGAGATATTCTACCTCTGAGGAAGTTTTAACATCCCTGAGGCGCCAAGCGACTCACTTACATGGGAATGTAAATATGGGAGGAAGGGGATCTTTCAACAACAATGTGAACAAGAGCATGGCGTACCGGAATGATACGTTCAATAGTGATTCTACTCGGAAAGTGGCAACTGAAGAAAAGTCCACTCTCGACCGACCTGAAGAAAAGGTTTAGTGTTTGTTTCATCATATATCAATTATCCGTTCTTGATAATTTATCCTTTATGAACTCAGGAGAGAGTTGTGTAGCTTCTAAATGGTCGTAGAATTGTCTTCCCATTTTAAAAAAGAACAAAAATAAAAGTAAATATAAAAATATGAGTGCAGGTTTTGCTTCTGTGCGGACCACCAGGTTTGGGCAAGACAACGTTGGCACATGTTGCTGCTAGACACTGCGGGTATCGGGTCGTGGAGGTAAGTCGTTATTGCAACTAAATGCATAGAATTGATAATTTAGTGATGAATTGGGTGATGTGAATCCTCAATTCTCTAAATTTTTTATTTTTTATTTTTTATTTTTTAGTGGTGCTACCTCTTTACTTGTTAAGTTCATTTTGTTCATTTATTTATTTGTTTTGACATGACCATACTCTCATCTTTCGTACCTTATCACTAATACCTTCACTTATCAGCGTGAGAAACTTAAGTTTAGAATTTTTGCATGTTACCCTCTTCTACTTGGTTATGGAATTCTTAAATTTGCCGCTTTGTAGATGAAGCTACGAGTCAGTTGATGTATTTTTAGAGGTAAGCACCAACAATCGAGACAATGCTTATGGAATTGTGCATGCTTAATTCCCCAGATAAACGCTAGCGATGATCGAGTGGCAACAACACTTCAAGGAAAGATACTAGATGCTATACAGATGAAATCGGTTACGGGCGACAATCGACCAAATTGCCTGGTGAGTTTGTTAGGATTATCATTTTGGAGTAGATGGCTTAGCCATCGCAGCGACCAGCGTTTTTGATATTCCTTTCTTTTTTAATTAAATCAAGTTCACGGGTTTCTGATATGGGCCCTTTTATACTTCAGTTTGTACCCTTTTAATCATGAACTGAGAACAAACAGTCTCAAGGAATGATGAATGAAGCGTTCTGACTAACTCACTGATGTATGCGTTCAAATTTTTTTTTATCGTCACCATGGTGGTTTTTAGGTGGTTTCAGTCATATCGACAATTGTAGGTGCTGAGCCCTGAGATGAGTTTTGATTCATTCCGGAACTTTATGATGAGTTCTATCTTTTGTTTGCAATGTTGCAGTTTGTGGCAAAATATGTTAATCGTCTACTGACTTTTACTTTTGGCAACAAATGACAGGTTATAGATGAAATTGACGGAGCACTAAGTGGTGCAGAGGGGAAAGGGGCGATTGATTCCCTACTGGAAATTGTAAGATTGGCGTGTAATTCAAAAAACGCATAAAATAACAAATTTGAACGAGAGTACGACCATTAGAGTGTCTAGTTTTGAGACGTCCTTATCGCACATCTTTCATTATTTCTCAAGTGTTCGACGAGTAGATTAAATTTATCATTGCTCTATAGCTATTCATAGCAGGTAGCCTCTGGAGTATTAGAGGCACGTCACTTACAGCATCCTCATATATCCTTATCCATATTATTCACGTTGAAGCCATCAATTCCCCTTACCGTTCCTGTTGAATAATCTATAAGTTTTATGTAATTCATTTATTTACGATTAAGAGAAGAGTACACGATTTTGGGTAAACGTAACACACATTTGTACGTGTAATTCTCGTTATTCAAGTGTAAGATACACAGAACAGATTTTGGTTAAACTTTGAGGGAAATTTTTTTTGTGTTCGTTGTAACTATTTGCTTGTGTACTTCTAGTAATAAATCGTTGTTGGCGTCTCTGGGAATTGATGAAGCTTTAATAAGTGTTTCCTACCTATTATTTTTTGTCAGATTAATGCAGACAAGAAATCATCACTGGGAAAGGAGAATGAAATGCAAGAGGGTGTCACCAAAGTGAGCTCCAAGAAGACAGGAGGTTCAGCAGTGCGTCGCTTGTCAAGACCAGTATGTTCGATCTTTTCCACTTGTCGCACGGTTGAGACATAATCGAATTGTTGTTTTGAATAGTAGCAACTAAACTGCCTTTGTTAAATTTTTGTATTTTTAAATACTATTCTCTATTTGATAATCGAAGTGCTAATGTAATTCCAAATGAATAATGTTCACATTTCAGGTAATATGTATCTGTAATGATTTCTATGCACCTGCCTTAAGAAAACTTCGACAAGTGGCCAGGTATGGAATCTAGGGTAAAGAATCAAGACTCTGATTAGCTTGGTATATGACAGTATTATGCCTATAAAAATTGGGTTTTACGTTTGAGAAAATTGCGCTTTGAATTTATCTGATAGTGTTAGATAGTGTTGCAGCTACATTTGCTTCCTCTTGTATCAGTTGCCATGTTTGGTTTTTAGTTTATTGTTTTGTCAAAGCATACTACTTTGTTCTGAGAAACGGCCGCTCTTTGTGAATTTTGGGACCGCAGAGTGCATGTCTTCGTGCAACCAAGTGTCAGCCGAGTTGTGTCCAGGTTCGAATTTCTAGTTTTTCTCATTCTCAGACATTCTTTTACCTGTCTTATGCACCTCGTCCCATACGCTCTCCCAAAATTTCAATATTCCTCATTATATTTTGCACGATAGTGCTTGTATTGATTTCTCAACCTCACATGTAATCACGTAAAATTTTAAGTCCTGAACTTTGTCAGCGTGCATTCTTATCAGACTCAAATACATCTGTGGCAAGGAGGGTTTCAAAACTAATGCCCGTGCTCTCTCCGCTTTGGCTTCACATACAGGTAGTACATTTCTTTGACCGACATGGGACTAATTAGTTTTTTTTTAGTGTGTTCTACAGCAGCAGAAGGTTATCTCACTATTAGTTGTGGTGATTATGCAGAGTGCGATATTCGATCATGCCTCAACACTTGCCAGTTTCTGAACCGGAAGAAGCAGAACTTGAAGACGGTAATTTTCTCGTGGTATCTTTATGTATATGTTTCAATTATACGTCGCTTTATCGTCTTTATTAACTTAGCTACATAGGGATTTGGGCGCAGCTGTCTTCCAGTCTAATCTTGAGCTTCCCATGACATTTCAGTTGGATGTAGGCTCTCAAGTTGTGGGCCGGAAAGATATGACCAGCAGCATATTTGATATCTGGGGAGAGGTGAGCATGGACTTCCGTTGATGTCGTCTTCCCAATGTATGGCAGTAGCTAGTATTTTCGTTGCTTACTATCAACTGCTTGGCAGATCTTCCACAAACGAAAAGTGCGAGCAGGTTCTGGCATGCGCGGTCTGGTTGAAATGCCAGAAATTGGCAACCAGGACCACAAAGAATTCGTTCGTCGCTATGGATTGTTTTCGAACCAGTAAGAAATTGCTGTGCCGTTTTTCAGAATTTGGGTTTCACTTTTTAGTGGTATTGGATGTTGCGGAAACTTGTGATAGTGTGTTCCTTAAACTCATTATGTTTACTATTTTCGTTTCAACTGCGCAGCGGAGATTATGATCTCACAATGAGTGGCATTCATGAGAATATTCTACACATGCGTTATCTCGACCCTTCCCTGGAAAAAACAGTAAGGTTCCAGACAACGCACTTTCGATCTTATACTGGCTAATGATCAAGATTCATATATTCAGGCTTTTGTGGTGGTACTTGACTAGCTACAGCTCCTACTTTTAAGTTGTTCTAGTAATTAAAGGAGGTGACCTCAGGTGGAAGCGCTTGAATGGATGGGAGACTCAGAAATTTTCAGTCACCATATCATAGCCAAACAGCAGTTCCATCTCTTAGGTACTTTCTAACCTGCAGAAATAGGATAAGTCAGTCTATCCTGACGGATCAACGATTTTGTGCTGGTATGAATAGAAAAATTGTAATATGAAATGTGTCCGTGTTTAGGTCGACTTTTAGTCGTTCTACGCTATTAATCGTTAATTCTTCTCGTAACTGTCTCACTTGCTGGCCTAAAATTATACATGATTATATCTGCATTTTCCGATTAAAAGATAAGTCCAATTGTCTGTGAGGGCAGCATATCAGCCATTGCCAATGATTGCAATTAGAGGACTTGTTGCGCAACAAGAGCGACCCCAAGTTCAATGGCCAAAGCAACATCAGAATAGCAGAACCGAGCAGGCTGTAAAGATGGAAATGTTGAATTCCTGGCTTGGATCTATGACGGCCTCAATTTCTCGCGCATTATCTCCTGTTTGTCTTGGACTTGACATAGTCACCCCGTTGCTTACGATCATTACCCCCCCAACCATCAGACCGGTAAGTCGCTATCCTTATGGATTTATCCTCTATCTCCTCCCGTTTCACTTTTGTCTCTTTTATCTGCATTGTTTGACTTATGTCGTATTTTCAATAATAAGTGGATAATATGCAACAAATGGATTGTTTTTCCAGGTTGCTACTCAGCTGCTAACTTCGAAAGAGAAAGATGAAATTGTACAGCTTGTGGATACAATGCTAGGGTTCGGGCTTTCATACAGACATCCAAAGGCAGGCATGCTTAAAGCTGACCATGGTATAGATGGACACAGTTCGCTTACGTTGGATCCTCCCATTGATACTTTGGTTAAATATAAGGTGACTTCCATTTTTGCAATGTTTGAGGTCTCTTAATTCTATCAGTGTTGAGTCTACAAGTGCGAGGGCTGTTTTCCTTGGAATTGGGCATCATTTCAACCCAGAAATAAGAATTTCAGTAGGATGGGTAGATGTCGACAGTAGTATCATGTGTGTCTTTTTTTTCCTTTCAAGTTTACTCCCGGCCGTACTGAAACTAGAACATTTCTATGTAAAGCTGAAGGGTTTCTGATTAACTCAGGAACTATTGTTCATTTGAAGCTTGGGGGATTATAATTGCTGTTATGAACTTGACAAATGCTTCAATCGGCATCCTCTATTCTTGTTTCGCAGGAATTCACAGCAGGTTATCGTCAACTGTCTAGTACACTATGCCAAATGTTGGCTCATGAGGTTCTCTTCTCTCTATCATCGTTTGGAATTCCTCGTGAACAGTTCATAGACTAAATTTGGCCAACTATTGTGCAGCTTTTCTATTACTTTATTTCAGAATATTCTCTCAAATTTATTCTAAGTTTCGGAATATATATTCTGCATGTGTAGGTTGAAATTGAACGCATCCGACGGGAAGGAGCTCTGCGTGAAAATAAGATGATAGCAGTCAATCCCACACCAAAGGTAAGCACAGAATATGTTTCAAATTTAAGACACAACTTTCTCTAATATCATGAGTATGTAAAAAATAGTAGATTTCAATTAGGTTACATCGTCTGCTATTCATCTTGGGGTATGTGTTGCGTATGTTTTATTTATCTCTGGCCTATTATGCTGTACAATTTATTCAGTACTTTATGATTCTATTAAACATGAGAGTACTACTAGTAATCACACGTTTTGGAGATTCAAATTATGTGTTAGAGATTTCTTATCTCTTAGTTCAAATATTTTTTTGTTTGGCGCAGCTAACCATTGATGCTCCTAATAAGAAAGATGAAGAGCGAGGTAAACCTCCACTGCAACTTGTGGAGGATCCGTTGCAGCCTTGCGATGAGAAAATCGAGGTTCCTAAAAAAATGTGCTATATTTCTTCTTCTAAGAAGAGCGTACCTGAACAAGAGAAACCGCAACCTCGCCGGTCCATGAACTTTTTCGAAAGGTTGATTTCCCGTTTCCATTTTCAATATATGGACTCTGCTGCCACAGACACATATTTACTGCTTAGATTGCCTAAATATCATGTAGACACAAGCTACAGTACGTGAACTATTAATATTAGTGTCAGCAGTGTATTTATCAAGAATTAGGTTTTGGTACACTTCATTTTCAATACATGACATTCCTCTTCCTTTTCTTAATGTGGCCACAGGTTTAAAAAGTCCACCCAGACAGATGTTACCGCCGATGTGAAAGCTAAGGAGAAATTGGCTACTCTACAGCGTGACTCACGCCCTTTGCTGTACAAATATCATGAAGTAAGTTGCCTTTCACCGGTCACGTGTATTGTGTATGTGAAAATATATATTCACATATATATATTTGCACTTCTGTGTACATGAAATAACCTGGAAACGTTTGAAAATGGTAGTCGAATCTGTTCCTTTACCAAGTTGCTAAATAACGGAGGTTATGCGGTGGTTATCGCAGGGACTTACAAATGCTGTTAAGCGACCGATGTTTGTCCGCGATTTTTTGTGATTCAAAACGAAGGTATCGGTAGCCCATTATGTTTATGGTAGTGATTAACGCATTTATTATGCTGTATCCGCAATGCCTCTTGTGGAAACATTATCGTTTCACATCTTATGAGGCTAGGTTCACCTGTTACATGTCCTCTGGTTTTGGATGTATGCATAATTTTAACTAAATTGTATGACATTTCAGAACTATTTCATAAGCCCTTTTTTCTGAGTTTATCGTGAATCTGGTGAAGCGTGCTGTGAAAAATTCTGGGTTAATTAGGTTTGTGAATACTTCGTGATTATAAACAAGGAAATTGATAGGAAATTTTGGGTGAAATCGGTTACATTTCCTGGTATTTTCTATTTTGCTTTCCAGGATATTCTTAGGTGTTTGATGGTGTCAAAGTAGTGTATAATTCTGAAATTTTGTAGTAAGTGTTGCTTACATTTAGTCCCAACTTGTAACCTATTTAATATCAAGTAAAAAAAGCAAACTAGTTCATTCAAACTACGATGATTTACATTTTTAATTCATATAAACATTCATTTACATGTACATATGTGCTTGACGAAAAAATGTTTTAGTTGGTTGTGGATTATGTGATGCTCTTTACATTGGTAAACAGATGCTCTCAAGCGACATGAGCAAAGACTTTTCGAAGTAGTTTGTAGGCTTGATTTCTAAATAATGATCATTTTTTCTTGCTGTGCGACTCGTCAAGAAGGCTGTAAGTATACTCAACATTGAACGTCATCGAAACTGTAAAAACGTGCATTAAAAGAATTAGCAACATTTCCAAGATACGTTAATGCAGGCAAAACATCGACTCAGCAACTCTGTAGCTGTAAATTAGCGACGCTGAAACAGTGTTCTACTGCAAAACTAAGATCCGTGCGGATTTCGGAGTATTCCGTAGACACTGTCAACGAAGGGGACTTCATTGCTCAATGATCTCCTACGATACTGTTAGTTAGAAAATATTTACACGTGTAACGGGTCCTGGAAATAGGCTACTAAATCCACAGGATGACAGATGTCAAGCAGTAACCCAGGAGAGGATACATTGTAACAGCTGCCACGTACTGCCTCAAACAACCTAGCCCTAGATGCAAGCCCATTCAATCATCATCTAAATGCGCAGGAAATATCAGCTGAACATACTCAATTTTCTCCACAACTTTAGGTGAACGAATGCCCATGCAAGATGCGGGGTACAAACCTACATTAATTTTTTTTTCAGATCCAACAACAGAAAAGAAGAGGCACTGCCAATAGGTAATTCCCTCATTTGTCTCCTGATGTCATGCTCATGACAAAATTCCCGCACCATTCAATTGATCTTTGAATGGGTGACAAACACAACGAATTGATCCCAGAGGGAAAGAAAATTAGGTTATCGGAAATTCTTCCCAAGATATGAATATTGCTTTGGGGCTGCAAAAGTAGCACACTTGAGCTGAATGACGGATGAATCTTTCCTCGTCGTTAGAGACTCAGAGAGTGTTGGGAATAAAGAAGTCACTGAAGAGGATACCTTCCTCTTGAGTTTTTTCTTTGGTTGTGGCTGTTGCTCCTTGCCCTGCAAGATCGCAAGCACTGTCAGCTCAATTACCGAGGACACCTGAAAGGGCATGTGAAAGGCCGCAGTTATCTATCTAGATTGAGTAATGTTTCCTGCATGCTCAATCATAAATAGAAAAGGAGATTCCATAGAATGCTAAATGCATGTCGAGAGCGAAGAACTATGCAAGGACATGTGAACAAGTTAAAGGTGAAATTTGAACTAAAACATCCAGGACATAAGTGGGGTACAAACTCGAACCAGACAATGAGTGGAAACTTGCCTGTTCAGCGGCGAGTACATCAGTGATATCTTGCAAGGGTTTTCGAGAGAACCACTCAGGCAAGGGACTGCCACTCTTTTTGTCACTCCATTCGACATTAGGATCCCAATTTTCTTTGCCAGGGTCACCCTTGCCAAGAACGCTTTGTGGTTCTTTCATGATAGAGCTGGACGTGACATTTCGCGCAACAGGGGATGAAAAGCCTTGTTCAGACTCATCCACCCTGCTGTGAGTGTTCATCACAATTTGAGGGAGGTCTTCGTCGATCTCCAACTCCATCTTCGAAAGTCCCTTTGCAGCCAGTACCGAAGAGCATACCCTAATCTGAGAGATTTCCAAAACACAATCTCTGGCACCGACCGCACCTCCATTCTTTTCCAATGCATCATTCAGATCTTCTAAAGTTACCCTTCCGTTCAACTCTCGCTCGGAACAATCGACGTGGAGATCAATTGGACATGCTTTTTGCACCGTGCTGTAAGTCTCATTCAATCGAATGCACAAGTCCTCCAGTGCAGCTTCTGTACAACTTTCCCTACTAAATGTTGTCCTGAACCTCAAATTGCGAGGAGTTACAACAGAATTTCTCGACACCGAACTTTGCTCTTTTTCTCCAAGATCCAGGGATGCAATGGGCTGTTGCACCACGAACTTAAGGAGATCGCTGTTACGCTCAACGAGCTGACCCCTCTTCATCTGCTCTCTTACTCTTTCCATTGATAATTGTTCAAGTAGTATGCATATCAAAAACCACACCAAATTCAAGACGTTTGGCGTGAAGATATTCTCTCTGTGATTAGCGTGAGGATTGGTGGCATCCCAATTGCCCGGGAAGCTAACAATATGAAATGAGCTTTCGGCACTCCGTGACTGAATCCCAGCACCAACAACAAGTGGTGATTACAAAGCTCAAACAAACCGCGTGGAGCTCCAGCTAACAGTGACTCATATCGCAAAAACCATGCAATTCAAGAACGATGAGCAATCACAACACGAAACAAAAATGTTGTCAAATACTCCACTTCAAACAAGACCACGCCACCTCCACCACTTCCCACCCGCAGCAACGATAGCAGAATGAACCAAACATACGCAGAGCTAAGAAAAGAAAAAAATAACACACACACACACGGAAAACCCGCCACTCAAGCAGACATCACTCAAGACAATGCTCTATACTCCAAACCACTCACTCACCACCAACCGGACAACTGAACCTCCAGTGCAGGCACCTCGAAGCGAAGTACTTCGCCACTACGCACACCACAGTGTAACCCTAACAGGAACGAGTTGTGACGCACCCTCACAGCGCCGGGGCTTGAAATACGAAGCAGCAAGTTGATGCAAACTGGTCTGAAAAAACCACGCTGCGCAGAAACATTCCACAACACGGAGCCTCTCTCGTTCGGGGCCCCTACCGCTCGCCATCGACTCTCGCAGGCTTGGGAAATCGGTCCGGAACCGAGCCGAAGGGGTGGCGGAGGATTGAATTTCCACCCACCCTTCGAATCAGGGGGTCGGATTCCACGTCAGATTCTGACGTGGAGTCGCCGTGGCCTGTTGTCAGTTGTGGCTCGACTTGCACCGATTTCTTCCTCTGTTTCTCGCGTCGAGCATGCGCTTGTTCCCACTCTCTCCTTCTCCTCCACACATGGCGCCGTCGCTACCGACAAAGTGTTGGGGCCACACCCGGCTGGGCCGCAATGAAGAAGAAGCCTCGCGCCGGGGAATCTCGCACGTTTTGCATTGGGTTGGAGACGTGCACTGATTAGTTCACATTCCCCACCTGGAGTTGTATGTCTACATCCATTCTTGAGACATGAGTTTCGAGGATTACAAGGGTATTTCCACCACAACAACAACCAAAATACATTAAATAAATAAATAAATAAAAGTATATAGGTAAGTTTTTGTTTTAAGTTTTGTAATTCTAAGCATGTCTTCTTATCTCATACACCACTTTCACGAAAATTTATTAACTCGTTCTAAACTATTATTGAAGAAATATAGTTGGAGGCTGTAAAATCTAATTAGCAACAATTTAATTTGTTTTTTATGTCACTTTATTTAAGAATCAGTAAAATAAGAAGAAGAAGAATTTGAAATTTTTTAATACTTTTGAATTATTGTAGGTAACTTCACTTCTTGACTTGTGAGTTTATTGAGTCAACTAACAAAAATTTGTAGTGTCCTTTATAAGGCTTGCATTTATTCAATTTGAAGGTTAATTTTTTAAGATTGAAATTACTTCAACCAAGAAGAAAATATATCTTAAATAATCTAATAACTAAAAATATTATACAAATAAATATCATATTTATGTTTTTTTCTAATATATTTAAATAATAAAATACTAAAATAATAATTATATAATCAATAAATAGTTAAGGCCATACAAAAATTCTATAATATATTATTTTAGAATTAAATTTAGTACTTATCCAAAAAAAATATTTGACAAGTCAGTGCAATGTTAAATCAGCCTTATTAATATTAGCCTAGCATAGTAAAACTCAAGATGATGAACTTGATCAAATTTATTTTAAATATGTCTAAGACCAATTGACATTAATTCAACCTTGCACATCTAATCTACTAAGTTCAAATTATTTACACAACAATAAAAACAAATATCCTATGTAACTCCATTGTTCACTCTATATAAGTACCCCTGTAATGTGTTACTCAACCTGTTATAAAAAATTAAACTCAATTTCTCACATGAAGATGTTTTTGACCAACTACTATCATATGATTTACACAAGTATATCTTTGTTTATTACAAAAAATACTATAATAAACAATATACTTTTGGCACACTTGCAGTAAATAACAATTAAAGATTGTTGAATCTTAAACAAAAAAAATCTAACACCACGTTTTTTACTGTATGAATATATATACATACGTTGTTATTATTTCTACATTAAAATTTATCTTCAATTTTGAAATAAATTAACAATATTAACATCATTTGAGTAATTTTTTTGATTTATATATATATATATATATATATATATATATAAATAATAAATTACTAAATAAAATAATATACGTTGTATTATTTTCAGTTGCAAACTCTTCACAAACAAGTAATATGTATTTTATAGTTCTAATTAAAACAAATAAATAAATATTAGTTTACATGCAAATAAAACATTGTACCAATATTGTCACCAACTTGCAACAACTTTTTCTTGCATATTGTTATGTTGGTATATAGATAATGGCCATAGAATTTGTTTTATATACTCCATCATCTAAAATAAGTTAATATTAGGTTCTCGAGTTTTAAAAATAAAAATGTATTTTTAATAAAATTATCTCCATAAATTTTGTAACAAATTATTTAATTTATATCTGGACCACCTAAATTTGGAGTCTTCCACTATATAATCTTAGCATACTTTTTTAAATAAATAAATAAATAAACTATTACATATGCGCTTCTTATGAAAGACATGTGTCATGACATTATCAAAAATTGCGTTGTTTATTAGGGGGATAAGAGAATACTTTTTAAACTCATAGTTATAAGACAACTTTGATAGGGCATAAAGTTGTTATTGAGCATTAAATGCAAATAAAAATAAAAATAAAAATAATCCTCTTTAGTAGCTCTATTTATATTCACACTCAATTGTGTTTTATATGAAGTATAATCTAGGACAAGTTGTGTCATATATTACAAAATGTAGAACAAAGTTTGCAATGTCCTACATCAAAGATTATGCTAATATACATATATCCAAGAATATATATGTATTGTCATCACAAAACTTAATATATACACATAATAACTATGAACGTAGTTATTGTCTAAATTCTAATACTTAAATTTGAACCCCAAATATATTAAGGATCAAATAATGAAGGAAAGTGTTTATATAATTAAACATTAAAGTTGAACAATAGTACAAAGCCTCAATTACTTCTGCCGTACCAAAATACAGGTCAGTACCATTGAAACATGTCATTTAATCAAACTTTTTGCAATATGTTTTTAGTTGCTAGATACACTAAGCTGTTGATACAAGGCCATATCTGAAGAGGAGAAATAATTAGTTCATATTTAACAATGATTTGACTTACATAATGAATTCTGGTTTACACCCACAAACTTCTTCAGCTTCAGCCCCATGACGATACTACTGATTTCAGACGTCTGCCTTCCGAAGCCTATCGTGCCGGCTACCAAAATTGAAGGGACATTCAACATGTCTTTCTATGCCACGCAGTTAGACTGGAACGGCACAACTAAATAATCCGCAACCTACAGAACACCCACTCAAATAGAGGCTTCCGACATTTATTCACATGGACAACACTTGCAATCATAGCTGCTGAATCTGACTCTCAGCCCAACTCACGAACGCGGCGGTAAATCATCTTGTGATGACACAACCACTTCAGAGTAGCTCCGAGGCATTCACCAGTAGTAAATCCCTCCATCGCTTTCTGGAATCATCTCCCAGCAGCATGTGTATCATTCAATTCGCCTTGAAATAGTGTCACATAAGTACAGTGACCACTCCCGAAAATTCAAATTATCTGAAATTCTTCCTGAGATTGGAACATTTCTTTGAGGCTACACAGCTCAAAGCCTTGGGTTGCCAGAGCGACATAGCATTCTTTGCTGGGATTTCACACCGCAGCTCCAATTGTGGAGGCACACCAGAGGTTATCTTTTTATTGCGCTTTTTCTTTGGTTGAGGCAATTCATTATCCTGCCAACCCACAAACGCATTGTCAGGTGAGGCAATCGCATCCAACGACTCAAACTTCAAGGATGGATCACTTGCAATCCTGACAGACACATTCCCATAAGCTTCCAATCGTGTTGAACCAGCCATACGTTTATAGCTGCTCCAAGTTCTAGTAACCTACTTCAAACTAATTCCCATCCAATTCAGAAAAAATGGCAGACATGCAGGTTTTGTCTTAATGGCGTGGACCCGTGAGACAGATACATCGAGACAAAGGCACGGCGACTCACAAGCTCAGAAGCCAGCACATTAGTGATGTCTTGCAATGGCCTCCGGGGAAACCACGCAGGCAACGGGCTGCGAGACTCCAGGATATTCCACTGGCCGAGGGGATCGCAGTTCTCCTTTCCAAGTTCATCTTGATCGTGTCTCTCATTAGCCACGTCCACTTCTGCGTTGGACCCGACTGGCCTAGTTGCGTCGGATGAAACGTCACGGTTACGCTCTTCCTCTAACCCATGGGATATAGGTACAGTCCCAGCAGAATTACGCCCGCAGACCTCTAACATAGGATACTCCGTGGCATCCAAGACACCAGGTGTGATTATTGTCTCGCATCCATCCCTCTCATCTGATACCATACTTGAGCCAAAGTGTAGCACAGGTAATCTTCGGACCACAACCCCCTCGGTTGGTCCAACCGCATCCAGAGCCATCATTACTCTCTGAGAAGTGCTGTGATTCTCGCGGACTCTGCTGGATAACTCTTCCAAAGAGAGCGACTTCCCTGAATACTCTCTGGTCAATGCCCTTGTAAACCGCAACCTGCGCATGGTCATGCCAAAATTTGTTGCCACCAAGTCGGGGTCCACCGTTCCTACGCCATCCGAAGATGCTACATCACATGGAACATCATATTCCCAGTGCCCACAATTCTCCTCCTCGAGTTGGCTCCTCTTCATTGTTGAACTCTCTCGTACCAAACCTTCCAATGATATCAGCTGTGTCTAGGGCCAACCAACTCCTTCCCAATAACTCTATATTCGAGTTAAATAGCTCGACCAATTCCAATTCGCAAGTGGCAGCGGAGATACTGGGTGATGTGAACACTGTTAACAAGATCTTCCGCTCCTTCCCTCTTGAAAAACAATGAGTAAGTTGTTTTTCAGTACTACCGGAAAGTATCGAGTTGCAAGGTGCAATCTCACATATCAACCAAGGGCATCAGACATCGCCTACACATTCATCTCCTCCTCCCAAGAATCCGTCCATTGAACGGTCGCTCAAATCATCAGCAACAATAGAAGAAAACACATACCACGTACATGTACATCAATATTCACAGACAACAAATCCAGCACTCGGAAACACCAACACTCGAGGCAATCTACTATCAGTGAAGAGCGTAAACGCAACTTAGTCATGGAAAAAACATATTCCCCACTCTCAAAAAAGCAGTTCCCGGCCTCACAAAACACTCCTCACAAACTGCAACAGTCGGCTACACCTCAAAACCAAGTCGAGGAAAGTCCAAGACGAGTCTCACCTTCGGACACCTCCCGTTGTGGAACCTTACCGCAAACCCGACTTCCAATGCACACGCGTGAAGCTCAAACCTCAAAAAACAAAACACCACGAAGGCACAGAACCCATACACTACGACGACGCAGCTCTGCACTGCACTGCACCTCCTCCGCGCTTGAACTCCCACACCAGACCACCAAATCGTTTGAAACCTGAGCTACAGTAGCACGCGGGAAAAATGTAACTAAACTGTAAACACTGTTCTCGGAGGAACTAAGAAGCGATTTGCAAAGCGGGGAGGAAGACAACTCCGCCCAAGCAGACTGCCCACAGTAGAATGGGCGGGGCAGTATTGTAGACTGAGCCCAACATGGGGTGGCCCCAGCAAACGGCGGCTAGGGTGAGCCTGGCTCCCTATCCCCGCCCAAAACATTTCAAACCAGATCCAGGGGTCACCCGCCGTCTCAGCGGGTTGGGGCAGTGAACGAGGGAAGCCTGACTCTCGCGCCTGTCTGAGAATTTGAACTTGCGCCGGTGCTCCCCGTGGTCGCAACTGGCTTTATCCGGTGGGGTGCTTTACTAGTGCGCTTGGAGACCGGCTTTCCATTTTGTGTTCGTCTTGGTTGGGACTCTGTTCGTTCGGTTGACGTGGATGTGGTTTCCTGTAACTGTGTCGCTGCACTGTGTGAACGGTGCGCATTCTAATTTTGCTCTAAGCACTATATTTTGTTTAGAAATGCGTGACAAGAATGAAAGGTGGGTGGCATCGAATTTGGCTGAAGAACTTGATACCAACACGCCATAGAAATTGTAGTTTTGTGGTTTTTATGTGGGTATCAACTTTCATATGTTTAACATTCTTGTGGAAATACTTTGCAACTTATATGTTTTCGATAAAGTTTTAAAAACGTAGAAAGGACTCAATTTTATATGATTTCAAACAATCGACATCTACGACTAATTATTGAAATAAAACCCATTCAATGACAACTTCTTATGTGTTCAGTCTCAATAATAATAATAATAATAATAATAAAATTGTTTGATGTTTTACAATTTCCAAATTGTTTGTCAGTGGTTATTTGGCATGTAAAATTGGTGTGGATAATTGGGTAATTTATATTTTTTCCAATTTAACAGATTAAATTCTCCCTTAGATATGACATGTATCCAAGATATTACTTTAATTGGCTGTTCAAACAACTTATATATATATATATAAATAAGTTGTTGTAACTGACATTGAACTCACAAAAGCCATTAATTCAAAGTTCAAACGATGCAGTATTTGTAGGATTATTAGTTTGTACTGAACATTCCATTTCTACGGTAATAAAAAAAATTACACGAGAAAGAATCTTTAAGACTTGATGGTTTAATCTTATACTCTGGTTTGCTCGTATAAATGATAGTTATGGGATATATGTGTGCTGCCAGTAGAAAATTTACATGGTAATATAATATATTTTAACACAATCTCAAAGCATTTATAGCGTTTACATGCTACAATGTGTTTTTTTTAATATTATCATTATTAAAAACTTGACAATATTTATAAATAACTATTAATTTTCTAAATGAATTCTTTTTGTATTTGATATTCTTTTAAGATGGTTAACTGAGTATGGAACTACTCATTACACATACACACACACACACACATATATATATATATATATACATATACACATGTATACATTATTATAAGTGCTGAGTTTGTTGCTTTTACATTTTATACAAATGGTGTTATTTTAAATTGCTCAAACAAGAAGAAAAATAAAATAACACCATTTGCATAAAATTCTTTTTGTTTGAGCAATTATTTCTGTCAATTATCACCCTTCTTTCAATATGATTTCAAATTTTGTTAGCATTATAATAAACATAGTTGTTTAATCAATTACACATCATCAGGAATTAAATATATATATATATATATATATATATAATAATGAAAATGGATGCTTATTTTATTATGTAAAATTCGATTGGTCTTCAGTTCGATTTGGAAAACTTGTTGCAATGAGGCAGCACACACATACACCCAACTTTGGTTTAATATTAAATCCAACTATTCAAGCACGTTTTAACATTCCCAATGTACGTTCAATAAAGTGACATAGAAAGCTAAACACATTAATTTTAATAGTAACGTTCAACGAAATGTAATGGCACAACTAAAGAAAAAAACACATCGTGAAAAAAATTACATCAAAAAGCAAAGAAACTAATCAAAACCATGGTGAGTTCCATAGATAATTGTAAAATTGATTAAAGTTATCCAGAAATCTCAAAAGGAGGTATCTGGAATCTAAACTACCATAAAAATAAAAATAAAACAGTTTAATCAGCGTCTAGTTTAAAAAATTCTCATTCATCTTAAAATTAACCCCCTTTCTCAAATTACCAACTTCGCTTGTATTTCACGGCACACAGTCCATCGTGGGCAGGGGGATGTGATCTGGACCGTCTAAAGAAAGCCGACGTGGAGTGCGTACGTGGCAATGAGGTGGAGTCACCACCAAGGTAAAGGCCCAGCTGGAGGGGTGCGTGTGATATAAGTCCAAGCCACGTAGGATTGGCTTTTGGCATTATTATGGGTGTGGAGCCCCAGTATCCCCCCCCCACCCTCCCTCTTAATGAGAAGTGAGCTATTTGGGGTTAGTTCTACACCTACCTCCATTCCTTTCCAATTCATTGTCGGGTTTTCCATTTGCCTTTCTGGGTTAGCCCTAATTTTATAATTTTGATAACTGTCAGAAGGATGTTCAAATTAAATGTGTGTCTGACAATGACAAAGGAGAAATTTTTATGTTATTTCTCTAGAACAAACGCTAACCCAAAAAAGGAAAATCCAGGAAAAAGAAGAATCCATTTCAAAAATTTGTAGGAAAAGAAAAAAAAGATAATGAGGACAAAAACTATAATAGAATGTGCATTTAAGAGGCGAGGTGGGGTAGTTGTTGCTAGTGTGGGGAAGCATCAATTGCCCAACGAGGTGGTTCTCATCCATTGTTTCTGTTATTCGGAATTATCGTTCATCCATATTTGGATGACTCGTATAATGGAGATGACACTGGAATGGCTCACACGTGTTAGATATGGCTTCATTGTTTGGTTACTGACACGTGTCAGTTTTATAATTTTATTGGCCATCAAAATCCCCATGCAATACAATATGGAAAATAATACAAAATTTGTAATGGTTTGATACACATTTCGTCTCTTACTTTTTTGTTTTGTTTACTTGTAAAGGTTGTTAAAAAAATGTTCTTAAAACTTATTGAGGTGTTTATGTTGTTTACAAAAGCAGAGTTTGCTTTTGTTTACTTAATACATGTGTGTGCAATTGTGAGAGGAGAGATGTTTGATGTTTGTGAAGTATCTATTCTTACATCATGTGTGGTGTAACTCGGGTGTTGTACTCTTTTCAAACATTCTATGACAAGAAACAATTCAAGACAATATTTATTTTTTAATATATGTATTGTGGATGGCATGTATACTGTGATAATTTGAATTGCTTGGATGTTGTTTATCACACTAAATGCTGATATTTTAAATGTATGAATCTTTTACATTTTTGGTGTTGAACTGTCTGACATTATAGTTTGGACTAATACACAATCTTTGGTAAATTCAAAGCAAGAAGGGGTATTAACCACTAACCACCGACATTCCACCACACAACTCAAATGCTAGTTGCACCTCTACTTTTATTCTCTCATGTTGTAGAAAACAAATTTCTCCATATCCCTAATTTATTATATTTTTTAGTAATTTATTAAAAAAATCCTAATGAAATACCCACATGCAAATAAACCCCATTTTCATTGCCACGCCAGATTTCATAGCAAGAATCGAAGCTCCCAAATAGATCAAAAGTTCGATCTTCGTGCTCGTTTTAGATGAACACCTGAAGAAAAAATGTTTAATGTTTTCGAAGCTAAGGCAGGAATTGGGAAAACCGCCGCATTCAGGCTCTCATCGATCCCGATGATAGCGCGGAATCCGAGGCGATACCACACCACTTTCGGCGTGTCTAGATCCGCATCCGCGGTTTTTAGCGCATTCATCGTGGCGACAAAACCAAGACAAACGTGACACACTCCGCATGTTGTCGGCGTGGCATCGGCACTCGAGCTGTTGCGGACAAACTCGGGCGAGGAGGCAACGCGCGAGGTGCGGGAGAAGGGGTCTCTCGTGATGGCAGTGACACGGTGCAGCTTACCATTTCATCAGTTGCAAATCTTAACCGCGATGGGTTGTCTGTCATACCCAAGTCGTCGACATTGGAGTTCCTCGTCGCTTTACTGCCTGGTTTCTGTATTTGGAGCGAGGGGGTATGTTGACATCGCGTTAGTAACTGTAGCATGACAAGCACAAGGAGACGTGTCCAGGTCGCTCGTGCGGGAGATGCATGAGAATTAACCCTCATGTTCCTCGACTTTATATATCTATGCGAAATGCAACTCTCGGATCCGAGTGTGGAGATGGCCCAGAGCGGCGGTTGATTGTTGCAGAATTCGAACGGCTGGTCTCGAGATAGAGCTGCGGAACCAGGCTGCCGTATAACTAGCTCGACTTGTTCGGAGCACAAGCTTCAGGTAGAATCGTTTATCTTGTGAGACTCCCGGCTTGAGGGATCATATCATACATTGTATCACTGCGCCATTGAGCTGATTTTAGAAATCTTTAGGGAAGAGAACTATTGCCTTGTTCTAAAGCCGTTTCTGAAGCTGCTTTGATTGTTACTGACTTTTCACTGTCAAGCCTCCGACTCTAAACACCTGGTCTTCACTGTGATTCTCGTACTCTTGCATTTACTGCAAAAGACCCTCTGCGGAGCGAAAACATGGGAGAGGCAGTGTAAAAAGATCATGAAATTCTTCTTGCACCAAACTGATCATTAATCGCAATCGAAAAGTCGTGATGCTTCTAGGATCGATAAGTAAATCAAAAATAAAATAAAGTTTTTAGGTTTGCACCCCCTATTTCTTCTGTGGCTATGGTGATTCTACAGTATGACACTGTTACATCAGGGCCCGGGCATGAAACAGGGGGACATCCAATTATTGAATTTCGCGCAAAGTTTTACCCTCCGAGTATTTCAGCCTGGCGAAAGTCCAGAGCGATCTTTGGAGGTGATTTCTGTTGACCATGGGTCTTAGCTGCACACCCTTCACGCAAGGAATTCCCTCAGAAACGAGACAAACTTGGGACTCTCTGTTCAGGTTTTGAGCGTGAGTCCTCGTGGTTAGCACCGCACTCGAATCGCCACAGACACACAACCATCACAGGTACACAGTTGACACTTATTCTCCAGACAGGAATCCATTCATCCTACAGTGAAAAAACTGCCGCTGATACAATCAAGTCAACGAATTTGCGCAGATAGAAGAGCTCTGAAATGCTCGAAAAAGAGCTGGGGTATGAGAGTCGGCGAGAATCCTTCTGTCAACCAGGTGGCGTGGAAGATTCCTACGATCTGTTCGTTAACAAGAATGATAAGGATGCAGGTCGTGACCAGCTCTGAGAAGATGTGAGAAGGGACGCGTTTTACGTAGATCCACAGGCCAGCATGCACGTGATATTGAAGAAGCATTAGCAAAACTGCCTTGGAGCTTTTTACCCGGATGGGCCCACTTCGATCACGTCGTGTCGGAGTGGCTGTGTAACCAGACTCCAAGGATTCCGATGTGGACTTTGCTTGGCCAGAGAATGGGAAGGAAGTCGATCATTCTCGTCCACGAGGTCCATATTCGGCAATGAGCCCTGCCCACACCTCGTCCACCTGAGGCATGCGATCAGGATGGTTTTTCAAGCCCAGACAAAGTAAGGAAAAGCCATGTCTACATGGGTGGTGTGTTGTGGCATATATGGGTCGCAGACAATGGCATGGAGTTCATGAGTAAACAATACTGGAGTGCATAAGGAAACATTACTAAAAGGTTGCATTGTCCTTTCCGCCCCCCCTCCCCCCCCCCCAAACAGATGAAACGCTTCGACTGCTAGTTGAATACTATCTTGCTCGATTTTCCACGGTGGGAAGCGTCTCCTCTCAGAAAGGCCGATCCCCTTTAAGAACTTTACAATATTCGATCTACAAAGATTACGAATTATCTCACTCTTCGTCTCCAGTAAATATTCATATCGTTACTGTAATTTGGTGCGCACACGTATGGCAAGTTGCAACATATGTGAAACATACATTTACATTAAGTGAAAGTAGAAGCATAATGTGCTGTGCCATCCACATCTGATGAGGCCTTCTCCAAACGTACAGTTTAAGTTTCTTAAGCAAATGAGTAAACCATACACGCCATAGGTAGAGCACGCAATCACATAAGCTACATCGTCAGGTTTCAAACACTAAATTCTCAATCGAGACACCATGGATAATTAAAGACAGTCTTTAATGACCTTTCAAAAAAAAGAATGTATACAGTTGCAACCATCAGTGTAGTGTCTTCAAGCGAATGGTGCAACAACTTACCACAGAATCGTTCCCACTTATTCTTTGGGCACTCGCTTAATCTCTCGATCTATACACACTAGGAGATATTCACACAGCTAAATGATGTTACACAATTGATATCTTTGGTCACGCAAGAGAAGAGCCTATGATAACTTGACCCAACCAGTACTTCCCCCAACTTTCACTTGGTCACTTTCACATAAATCACGAACACAATGGCCAGAGTGAGCACTCCAATTATGCTTCCCATTATCCACTTATTTCGTGACATCCGTCGAGACATCGAATTCAGGATCCGCCGACTCTTCCCAATGTTATCGTCCACACCATGCAGCTGTTAAGTCAACACAGACAATAGTTGAATATCAAAAACTTATCAGCATCAATCCATCCCTCAACTCCTCGGATCGTACAAACCATGTGCACATAATGCTCAGTGTGCACCACATAACACTTACTAGATCATCAGAGCTAGACTAATCATATTCTAATGAGTATCAAACACCAAAAAACCTAGCAGCGGCAGCGAACGTACATTGTTCTGGGCATGAAGAAGGGTTTGTCTCTGCGAGGCAAGATCTTGCAGGATGGACACACCAAGCTCTTCCGTTTCGAGAAGGGTCCGCTTGCTCTCCTTGATTCTCTCACCAGACTGATTCAGGCGTTCCGTCGACATCAGCAGTCTGCCTCTTTGGTCGTGGGTAGGCTGTACACATAATTACCACCACATAAAGATGCGTTGTTGAATACATTATTATGAAAAGTGTCTCTATTCAAGAAGTGCAATCAATACTGCTTGAAAATCGAGCTGAACTAAAACTCGACATGTTAAGTTTAGATGTTTACTAGAGAGTAAGCACCAAAGGACCAGACAACAGCATTGGTAACGTGCTCGACAAGCCGTGTCCATTATTAAGTAATGGAAGCTAAAGCTATCAACAACTCAATTACAAGTAACAGAAGTGTGCTTACGTTGGCACGATCGGCCATCCCAGATTCCAAAAGGTCATCCCTAGCAGCAGCTGCATCAGTTGTAGCAGACTTCTTAACATCTCGTTTCAAGTTAGTCAAATCGGACTTGTACTCCCTCAACTTGGCCAATAAGGTGGCTTTTTGAGTCGGAGGCAGGCTTCTGGCCTCCAGATCCATGCGACGAATCTATACAAATAAAATCTACTCAGTCCAAATCTTTACAGAATCCTTCTAATTACCAAAACTGACACCAATCCACAACTCTACATCATTCCCATTCGTTAATTACGCGAACAATAAAATTTCAAGAAGCACAATGACTGGATAACTCTACTAGCATACAGTTTATGTGTCAACTGCTAATTAGGAGTGCAAAATATTTAATCGTGAAATTTTCGACGATGGGCAAACATGAGAGCGAAAGACAGTAATGCTTCAACTATGAATATCCAGACTGCTAGACAACCTACACCCGCTTCGTGCGAAATGAAATCCAGATTGCAAAGCAGGAATTGTCACAAAGGAGTCAAACAGCCAATACCCTACCAGCGAATCTGCTTCATCCATCCCAGCCTTAAGCTCCGCGAGCTTCTGCTTCTTCTCCTCTGCGACCAGAAATACAATCCATGTCACCAGAAACGCCAATTTCTCTCACAAATGCAGGAAAACCGAAAATCTTCAACACCAATTCGCCATGTAAAACTTTTCCTTCCACTCAATGTGAAGTAAAGCCTTGTAGTTCAGTGGTTGCTTACCGCCATGGAGCGCAGCAACAGAGGTACACTTGCGAGAAAGGTTAGCCGAGAGCTCGCAGTACTGCCTCTCGTAGCCATCGAATATCTCACTCATGGCGACGTTCGGCGCTGAAACGGCTCCCGGCGCACCGAATCCCCCCGAAAGCTTGCGTCAACACCGGCGAGAAATCGTAAAATACCACACTCCACAGACACCAAAGAGAGTTGTAACCCTAAAACTTAGATTTAGCAAGAGCCACGCGCTGGAGCAGACGACGAACACGCGACGGAAGCGGACGAAACTTTCTCCACCCTCTTCTTCGGAGAAGCCGAGGCCGCACTTCATCACAAGGAACAGAGCAAAAACATTTGTTCACATTGGAGCGCAGCAATTTTATCACCCCGCGATTGAAGGAGAGCGTACAACTGATTCACAATTGCTGTGGTCTCGATACTTAGCCAGTACAGAACATTCAGAAGCCGTGAGTCTTTGGTGACGTTAATAATTGGGATGAATCATAATTTCAGAATGCAAAGACTTTGTTGAAGCCAGAGTGATGAACAAGGCAAAGTTAAAAGTTGTTTGAATTGCAGAATTGATGGAGGAGTAAGCTCCTAAGCTTTAGCGAGAACCCACAATTTTGGTTCTTGAGAAGGTCAACTTGTGGATGATTGGAGCGTATGAGAGATATTTATTGAGACATATAATAAAGTAAAAATTACCTTGCTGTCGGCAAAGTGCTAAACCTTCACTCTGCCTACTACACTTGACATTATTTGCACATCCATTGAGTACCTGTCTTTGTACTTCAGATGTGTCTCTAGCTCTCTAACCAAATCTACATTCTCGGATCGAGAGATCGTTCTCATATTAGTAAGTGTAACCCCTCAGCTTTGTCAGGATTGTTTCGTGGAGTTTATAAGTGGCTTGAAGTTGAAGTTTGAAAGCAGTAACCTGAAGCACTCGGGAACTTTCAGCCACCCTCTAGTGTAAATGATTCGGGGACTGACACAAGAAGCGGGGGTTCCTCTATCACACAGCTAACTGATGTTAGATAAAATAATATACATTCCACTACTAGAGGTGACTACAAATCGGGATTGACGAAGGAAATGCATTATAGTATTTATCAGAAGTTTCAGTCCTTCTCGGACTTGTTCCCACCACGACCGTGTAAAGATATGCGGTACTCAGGAACTCGCTCGATAACTATGGCAGAAGCGCCACCACCGCCGTTGCAGATTGAAGCAACTCCAATCTTGAGATTTTTTAATGCTAGTCCAGTGAGAAGAGAGATGATGATCCGAGCACCCGATGCACCTATCGGATGTCCAATTGACACAGCTCCTCCATGAATATTCAACTGATCTGATCTCAAACCCAGCAATTGTTGATTCGCTAAACTCACCACCTGCACAATAAGTCTCACTCTTCATGTTTAGAACAGAAAAAGAATAACAAAAATTTAATGAAAAAGATGTGTTGTGCCAGACACTTAAACGGAAAGAGAAAACTGAAATGGTGAAAAAACTTGCCGAAAATGCTTCGTTGATCTCATACAGATCTACATCTTCCTTCTTCAGACCTGCATGTTCTAGTGCTTTGGGAATCGCAAGAGATGGTGATGTCGGAAACTTTTCTGGATCCTGTCACATAAGAAGCAAAATTGATACTTAATGGCCAGAAAACATGCTATTAGACAATTATAACGAACAAGGTATGCCGGACCCTCTCAGTACATGTGCAAATTCTTTGCAATAACAAGCATTGAGTGGAAAATAACTAGATAGCAATCCCGATGAAGTACCTGCTCAGCATCTCCGAAACCTCGAATCCGCCCAAGGATTTGAAGGTTATGGTCATGTGCAAAGGCTGCAGATGTTAGAAGTAAAACAGCTGCACCATCACTAATGCTTGATGAGTTGCCTGCAGTGATTGTGCCGTCTTCCTTGAAGACAGGTCGTAGCTTCTTCAGCTTCTCTGGATCGAACTGCAAAGTCCAAGGAATACTCTGCAGACGTTAATGCACGCAAATTCTCTCCAGAATCAGAAAAGGAAGGGAAATTGCAACCCCAATTCGATAGTGCTTTCGTTGTAAAAGCCATCCATAAAATCATTCTTAAAGTCATTACTCCCGAAAACTTACACAACGCAAGGTTATGCACTGCAATGTTCAAACATTGGGAACTAAATCATATCTCCGCTCCAGTTGTGAAAATTACATTCACTGTAATAATGCGCTGAAGCTAATTTCAACTACGTTCTAGCATATGCTGAAAGTAACAAGTAACCACTACAATAAGCAACGAACCTAACAGCCTGAGTTTAAGTGAAGAAAAACCTTGAGACATTCCTCGTCATGGTTTACGACGACAATTTTCTTGCCTACAATAGTGACGGGCACAATTTCATTTTTCATCACTCCTAGAGTTTGAGCAGCCGCTGCACGCTCATAACTTGTAATTGCATAATCATCCTGTTCGAAGAGCACACAAATCACGATGGAGACAATAAACCAGGATAACCTCTGACCAAATAGGTTGTGCACGCCATCAGAAATCCTGCCAATTATGATCTAACATACCTTATCAAACTGAAAAGAAGAACACATCTCTGGGTACCTGTGCCTCACGAGAAATGCTGAGATCGTCTACACATAACTCTGCACAACTGCCCATAGAAATGTCTTTGTGTGGATCCCAAAGACCGTCAGCGACCATGGCATCCCTCAGTTGGACGTGACCTATCATTTTGGAAGAAAGATTTCGCGGCAAAATGAAAGGTGCATTGGACATACTTTCCATTCCACCAGCAACCACGACGTTGTTGATTCCTAGCATTATGCTTTGAGCCCCCAACATTACCGCTGCATTTAAATCGTTGGACAACTGTGTTAACTTCGTAATAGAAGTCCACTCTCATCTGTTTGAGACGGCGAACTATTTACCATAGCAACATCGAATTATTCAGGCACGCGAACCTATAATTACACCAAAAACTACCTTTTAAAAGCATTGATTCCTCGTCAGAAGTACCAATAAGCAATGACAGCAGGTTTTGTAGCAATGGGAAAGGTATTGCTGATTAAAAAGTTCTTTGTATGTAATTCCAACCTAATCGAGATTTCTCAGTTGTGTACCTCAAATGCTTAATACATAGTACCAAGACCGAGAACCAGCTAATCACACAAAAAAGGATGAGGTTGTCTTCCTGGCATACCCTTCATGCCGGAGGAGCAGACTTTGTTCACAGTAGTGCATACGGTAGCAGGTAATAATCCGCCTTTCTGTAAAGCCATTACATTTCAATTAGATTTCCATGACCGTTGAATGAATAGTACAGAGAAGTTTATTGTTAGAGATCAAGTCAACTTACCAAGGCGGCTTGGCGAGCCGGAGCTTGACCTACCCCTGAACTCAAAACATTCCCCATGAACACCTCGTTGACGTGCTCTGGAGACAGCTTGACGGATTCCAGTGCACCTGAAAAAATAATTTCAGTGCCCTTCTCCAGAACACACTAACCATTTTGAAATCAGCAAACCATAAAAACCACATGCATCGGTGTCGGCAAGTATTGATGTCGAAAATCGCCCAACTTTCAAACACGGTAAGAATTTATTTAATTTTATTTTCTGTGAAAAATAACTGACTGGATCAAACTAGGTTGCTGAGTGTATTCCTCCGAGCAACAATTGCAAATAGGAAAACAGAACCTACATCAAAGCTATCAAGGTAATTGTCTGTCTGTGAGATTGTTTCTGCAACTTTGATTCAGCAGGTTTAAGCGATACTTTCACAATCTAGGACGAAAAATGATGACTCGCCTCTTACAGTACAATTCCCGGCACAAACAATCACATTCCATCCTAATCAAACCAATAAGTCAACTTAATTTCAAGATAACTGAGTTGTGCCTAACCTCGAATTGCAATTGATCCAAGCTCAGGCGCGGATAGAGAAGCGAGGGAGCCTTGAAACGATCCCACCGGAGTACGCTTCGCTGCTACAATCACCACCTCGGGTAAACTGGCCGAAGCGGCAAATCCAGCAGTGAGTGCAACGCCACCTACAGACCTCTTTCTGACTTGTTTCCACAGCGTGCGTACCGCCATCGCTATCGCCACAGCAATTCCCCCTTCTTTCTCGTCTCCGGCGCTCTCTGCTGCTTCCTCCACCCGTCTGCACTGCGCTAATCCTCCCAACAATCTGCTAGAAACAAACTAAATGCCATCCTCAATCAGACGAGGATCTCGCCCGAGCGACGAAGCTACAAATCGATGAAGGTGCAGAAAACACAAACACGCACAAACCAATTATAAGTAGTGACTGACTGCGAGGAACGTGCTAGATGGCGGGTGTTGGTGGGGGTGGAGACGCTGACGTGCCGGGACTGCATGCCGACGTGGAGAAGCTGCTTGCTGATGTGGCGGTGACCAGCTGATGTGACTTCGCAGTAGACACCTAGAGTTCTTCTCGGGTGCAGATTCCATGTGGAATTCGCATGGTGACCCTGGAATTAGAGGATGGTTTGGATTATTATAAATCCTAGATTTTGAGACATAAGGTAAGTTATTAATTTGAATCTAAGCCATGAAAGTAATGAACAAGTAGTTGGGAAATAAATATATCTCTATTGATATAATAAAATTGATCAGCCTACATTTGTATGTAGCGTCAAAAAATCCCATTGGATCAAACAGTAGGGGGCACTCATTGCTAAGGTATATTGTGTGTTTTCATTATTATTATTCTTATTGTTATTTTAATTGCAGTAAGGGGCACTGATTGGCTGCCGGAATATATTGTGTGTTTCATATATATATATATATATATATATATTGAGACAATGGTATTTAAGTGGGTAATTTATTGTTGATCTATCAAATGAATTGTCTTGATCCGAACATGTGAAATATTGTAATATAAAGTAATAATTATTTACTCTCTATCAATTTAAACTAGTACATTATAAAAAATATATATAGCAATATTTTTTTGACTTGCATGTTGAGATGTAGGAGACAGAGATGGTTTTGAATGTGGTTGAACTGTAATCTGTAATTGTATATCTACTTTTAATTTTTAAAGATGATTTTCACTTTTTTTGATGGATGAAATTGATGAAATTTTTTATTGAATTTTGAAGAATTTGGGTTAAATACCTGATTTTAAAGTCTTGTTCTGAAACAAAAGACATTTTTATACATGTATCCATTGTGCATAGTTGTTTATGTAATTTAGAATAAGAATCAAATTAATCAAAACACTAACTCTAAAGAAGTATGTGTTGGAAAAATTCATTGTGTTTGAAATGGTGGAGATTATGGAAATTGTGAAATCTAATGAAGTGCCTGTGTAATTTTCCATTCCAACTCGATTTAAACAGGTCAAAGAAAATAAAAAATAAAACCATTTAATATAATTTTCTGGTTTTGAATTTTCTTTTTAAACAATGCCTTTATAGAGAATTGCAGTATAGTTTGTTGATTTTGTTCAAGATAAGAGTTATAATATATTTTATTCTAAATAAGTATAACAGAATTGATGTATTTAAAAATAAGTTATAAAAGTATTATTTACAAATTTAGTGTTGTTTTAAATACTTTTAGAAAATATTTTTACAACAAAACAATATCCAAGATGTTCCTTTTTATTTTTGGTAATAAATCATACAAACATAAAATATTGTTAAATATTTTTAATTGTATTATATTGTATAATAAAAATAGGTAAACCTGTGTTATATTAAAGAATTAACATTCTTATGCATAAATTTATTTAATATAATTGGTGGACTATCATTCTTATCTTATTTCTTAAGAAGTGATGCTATTTCTAAATATATTTTTGTTATATGTCAAGTCTTTCAAATTAATTTAAAATTATCAATATATTATTTATGAATATTGCCTTAAGATTTCTAAAATGTTATAAAAAACATCTAAGTTCATCTTTAAGAGTCTTCAAGTAATATCACTACAATCTTTTTAAAATTATGCTCTAATATTCCTTGAAGCATAGATTAAGATTTTTATCACCAAATCATTCTATATAAATGTTACAAAGATAGTTGACATTTTTACATAATTTTAAGTAAGATTTTAAAGAGCCTACCTATTCAAATTTCAAAAATAGCAAAAGACATTATATTCAAAGCATTGATTTATTTTGCATATTTTCACTTCAAACCATGCAAGCTACCATATTTCTTCTACATCCACTTATGATACAAACACTAACCAATCAATATATTATTTCTATTTCTGCTACATAACAAAAAAAATTATGCTCCTCAAAAAAATTAAGAATCTCTTGAAAATCATAGAACTTTATTGTGTCCATTCACCACTATTTTTAATGGTTTACATGTTTCCATCAAACTCTTAAAATGAGTTGTTCCTTAACAATTCTAGCCTCTAGTATCATAATCCATATTTCCTTATATTTAATCCTAGCTATCATGGTATCATAGAAACTTCTACAAATGGAGATGTTAATAACTTGATCATCAAGAGCAACTTAGTTAGGATTCCTTGGATGTAAAGTAATCCTCGTAATGCTATGATTTCTGTCTTCTTCTTCTTTAATACAAGCTCGGCGTCAAACCCTAATTTGTGAAGTATGAGTGGTGTGGGTTTTGCAAGGCGGAGGAGCATGATGGACTCATACCTGCGGTGAGGAGGAGGAGGAGAAGCTTTGAGAGAGCATTGCCCTGGCATTGCGTATGCGGCATTATGCTATGTACAAAATTGTGAAGAAGAAGAGGATCTCGTGGTGGAGCTAAGCGGAGGAGAAGAAGAATGAGGTTTGAAGCTGATGATTCTGAGGCTCACTACTCACTTTTGTGAGCGTCAGCTTCGAAATGACGGAAGTTGGCTTGCGGGGCGATGGTCTGCAAGGTGAGACGGACTGTAGAAGCTTGCTGCACAATTGCGTCTCTCGTCTCGACCAGAATGGCGGTGTCGATTTCCTCGTAGTCTGTGCCTCCTCCACAAATGAATGACACGATCGCGGCTTGGAGAGCAGGAAGTCCTGGGTTGTAGGCGGCTGATTCGATGTAAGAGCCGCTGTAGACTTCGCCGTTTCTGGTTACGAGGGCTACTCCCGAAGGACACCTGCTGTAGACCGCGTAGGACGCATTGGCTGCATTGAAAGCTGCGAGTTTGAGGTCTAGCAATGAGCGCTTGCTGCCACGCAGCCAGGAACCGAAGCTGGCCTCCCTCGTCAGGTTACGCTTCTTCGTGACATCCGTCGAGTCGTCGTTGTGTACCCCACAGGATAAGTCGCAATCGTCTTCACTGTTTGTTGTACTCGCTAAAAAAATCAGTCTGTTACTTCTTGACTCGAGGAGAGGTGGGAATTCCTTGGACAGTACATCATCTGGACCGAATCTATGGGGGAGGAAGTACGACAGTGGGTGCGCTTGAGAATCCTTTCCATTTGTGACCAACACCCGGATGTCGCCTGCATCCCTCAACTCCTGGAGAAATTGCCTGCAGCATCCACATGCATCCCATGCAATCCCACAATTCTTAGTCAACCACATAGCTCTCAAAAAGCAAGAAATTGAGGGCAAGAAGTTGTAGCTGAACTCATCTGAACCCTTCTATCGATTATGAGAAATTCAAAGCACGCACAGGGCGTGCTTGCTGCTATACCGTAGGGTGCACGCATTATTCTTATTACTATCAATTATGAACCCCAACAGCAAAATATGTACCCGGTGAGAATGGCATCAAAACGAAATTGCTTTGTCGAAACGAAGTGATTGGGAAAACATGAACAGAGACAAAATGGCACGCTTTGATCATGGACGTTTCTAACATGTACACTGGAGAGCGAGGTCAAATAGGGTTGACTATGTTTAGCGTATAATCACATAGAAAATGACGCCGACAGTAAAGAATATGTAGATCTGGTTTGGAAGGTTGGGTATGAGGTAAACCTGCAATGCCCACAGGGAGCAGTAGATACGGCGATAAACACTAATCTCGTCTCGCCGTGTTGCAGCGCATTTGCGACGAGGAATTGCTCGGCATGCACAGAATGGCTCAAAGGAAGTTTTGGAAATTCCAGGTTCACACCCTTGTAGATGCGTCCACTAACTCCTAGACCCACAGCTCCAACGTGAAACTTAGATATCGCCGGCCGCGCCGACTCTGCAGTCGACCTCACAAGGCTAGCAAGGAACTGTTCCACTCCTAAACCCGACGCACGCCGCAGCTTTGACGCCTTCGCGGCCCCAATGACGAATTCCTGCATTCTTCCAACCCCAGGTCGCACCAAGACTGATGGGTAGCCCTTGATCTCAAAGTAATCTCTCTTGCTCTCTCTCTCTCTCACACACACACACACGCACTGTGCAGTTCAAGGTCTACGAGATTTGCGGTATTTTAAGACGGAGACCCAACCTGTAAAAACTGGCACTCTCCGTTTCTACTTAAAAATTGAACCACAACCCAACAATCTGACAGCCAATATTCCTCGCGAAAATTCACCGACCAGCAATTCCCTACACTATCACAATCAAACAGAAACTAGAAACGGCGTGGCACACAGCACACTAGCTCCTTACAACCGACGCTACAGGGCTGCGCGCTTTCAAGCGCCCACTTGCCAGACCAGAAACAAGGCCAGAAACGCATTCCAGCTCGAGAACACATACCGATTAAGGTCGATAACATTTTCGGTCACCAAATTCTGATAACTCATCGATTCCAACCAGTACTTCTCCTTCCGGACAGTTCAACTGCAATCACTACGAGGTGACGATACGGAAATGTAAGAAATGCAACGTGATTAGGGAACGTCAATCTGACAAACCCACCAGTCAATGATGCGCCAAAAAGACCTCCTAGCATCTAACCGGATCGGATTAGGATATTCACCGAAGATGTTAAGTGCACTACACTGCAAGAACATTGCCACTGTTGACTTGTTGCATGGAAGGCCTGCGAAAAGGCTTCCACATCGATGGCATCCATCAAAACGGTGTTGGCATATTCAGTTGCAAAGGGGTGCGTAGTTGACCGAGGTTGGCGAAATCGGCGCTGTGGATGTGATGCTTTGGACGAGCCGACCCTCCGTTTTTGTTGTGGCCTTCGAGCCTGCGGAGCTCGGATCTTCCAACGAGGTCGACTGGCAATTCATGAAGCTTTTACTGTGCAGCAATGGAGGATGCCGTAATTTAGAAAAGCAAGCCCCATTCACACTGCACTATGTGCATCGAGCCCCGCTTCGGTATCCCCACGTGAAAACCCCCGTTCACACTGCGTCTGTCGTGCTCGGAGCCCGACGGTAGTGACATATTACAAACTTTCGCTGCCTTCGAAGTTGTGTTTTCTTTTTCTCTTCGAGGAAAACAAAAGTGAATTAAATGTGATTGATTGATTTTTTTTTATTTTTTATTTTTTTTTTGACCCGAAACACAATTATTCAGGCTAATTAGTGGAGGTTTTGGATATATATATATATATATATATATACACATACACACACACACAATATATAATTTACAGTAAAGGTATTGGCTTTATAAATAAAATTTTAGGATAAAAGAAAAGTATCTTTTGAAAGATAAAACTAATCAGGAAAAAAATTCTTCACTAAAATAAAAATAATAATAATAATTTGAAATTTAGTTTTACACTGTTCAAGTCATTCTTAAGAATTGATTCTAGGTGTAACTATGTTTTATTCAGTACGCAATATCTGATTTTTTTTTAATAATCATATTAATTTATACATAATCTTAAATCTAAATTTCAAGAAGTAGTTAATCAAATAATAAGATGTATTATAATTTAGTGATTGTAAAAAATAAAAACTTTTAAATAATTTAATAGCATGTATGTATGTGTTTATATATATATATATATATATATTAGCAAGGGTGATGATTGAGAAAGTAAATTACAACTTCTTTTATTAACTTTTTAATAGGCATATTTTTGAAGTACGTAATTTTTGCCATAGAAAGAATAATAACTTTTGAATTTTGGATCAATTGAATAGTCTTAATATTCGCAACTAATTCTATCCATTTGTATACAACAATATTAAGGGATCAATGAGACACCCATTAGCATATATATACATATATAGTATTAAAGGTAGTGCAAATTTTCCAACTGAATTCAAAAGGTTTCGCAAGAACTCATAATATGTGAGCAAAGTTTTAGGAGAGGGTTCTCTAGCCACTTTGTGGGCGTGCACTCACCACTACAAAACCAACCCTAACACTGTGTGGTCACTTGAAGACCTCTCAGTGCTGCAGATCAAATTCTATTGGACAGTCCAGAACTCCGCTCCAGTGGCGGGAAGCGGTGTCTTCGCCACGCGTGCCATGTAGGATTTTCTCGCCGTCAAACAAACGAGGAATCAGCACTAGAAACTTCTCCGATTGCTGAGTTGGACAAGGGCTCAGGGTGAGTGTGAGATGACGGGGTCTTTCCTTCGTCGATGTCGTTTGGCCGCGGAGAGTTTTGCGTAAGTTTGATTGCTGCAAGGACGAGGGATTTGAGTCCGTTTTGGCGCCATCGCCCCCTCGCCTCGCTCCCCTCACTTCCGTGCAGTTTTTCTTGGACTTTGTAGCTCCGAATTTGGTGCAGATTCGTGTTTGTTTGAAGCTTATTCTCGGCGCCTAGTGTGGTAGCTGTTTGGTCCGTGACGAGTTTCGTGCAGGACAAGTTCGTGTGGGCTTTTGGCCGTTGAGGGTGGCAACTACACGCACACGATGCTAGTTTCGATGATTCGGCTACCTAACTTGCTCCTGTCGCTCAAACTTCCGGAGAGTGTTTAAGAAGTGCGGGAAACAGTGGCACGAAAATTGCAGAGAGTTATGTTTGTCGGTATGAGTCGCTCTGCGTCGTTGCGTGTAGCTATATTTTCCAGCGCTCTGAGGGGGCTTGTTCTTCATCTTGGAGGGATTTCTGGTCGCGTCTACATTTTGGAAGAGTGTTAGAAGTGCTGGCTTCGTTGCAGAGGCTTTAAAAAAAATTGGCTTAGCTTGCTGTGCAGGTAGTTTGTGTGGATGTTGACTTGACGGTTGTCTGGAGCGTTGCATGCCGTTCCGTGACATTGTGAGAGTACTTCATGAGGAGTAACATGTTTTAGGTCTCAGGGTTTTACAGGAGAAGTTTCGCATTGACTGTACGCAGTAAAGGAAGAAGAGTAGAACTTTTTAGAGTGTGTCTCGAATATGGAGGTGGTGGCAGCGCCGTCGGTTTCCTCACCATTAGAAGGACAAATGCTAACCATGAGTCATAATGGAGCTTCCCCATTACCTCCACGGCCACTAGTGCACACAGAGGCACCAGTTACACCAGGCTCGACGCCCGTTAGAACAGTGCTTTCGCCGACGATGACGCCTCCAGGGTTACTATCGCACTCCATTGCTCCTAATCAGTTGTACCCGACCCCACTTGCCAAGCACCAGGACGTAGTTGCAAGCAAGGAGCTCTTTCTTGACACTCTCAAGAAGTTTCACATCGCTCTTGGCACTCGTCTCGTGTAAGACCCTATCATGCATTACTAGCCCTTTTTCTCTCCTACCGACGTTTTTCTTTTTTCCCTCCCGATTCCGCCCCTCTTAAATCTGTGGGCTGAAGGCAACCTGCGCAGTGTATCGTATGTTCTCACCGCACATAGTTATCAACATAGTTATCAGATGTCCTTGGTTTTCCAATCATGTTCAGTTTCACACAGATTCTTGCGGGGATTTTACGGATTTTCGTATTTGCCAGAAAGAATGTAGTTTCATTGAAATAACTACACAGGGCAAAGCAACAGTAGCACTGGGTTGACATTTACTAGTGTCAACGCAGAAAAAATGAGGTGATGTTACACTAAAGTTATCACTATCGCCTTCTTAATTTTTGAGATGTCCAAACAAACTTGACGTCTACTCTTTGTGGTCAGAAGTGCAGTAACGTCACACGCTTGATGTCACGTTCGCTTAACAGTAACTCTCTTATCATCAGATTTGCCACTTTCTCCCGAAGAAGTTCTATGTAGTGTGAGGACAAGGATTGTCTTTAAGCTTGAGCATTGTGATGAATACACCGGAGCAGCAGCTCTTTCTCGTTAATTTCATTCTGCTCCCTTTTTCCGTCAGTCGCTGTCCGAGGTTGAAGAATGATGCTAAAATAACCACGTTATTACATGAATTGTACGTGTCAGGTTACTCGTCTGAACATTCTGCGTCCTCTGTCCCAGTTTTCAACGCCTCGGAGGCATTGTCATTTGAGCTCTGAGCTTTAGTTTCTTGTATCTTTGATCCTTTGAGGATCAAGGCAACATATACATCTCAATCGATTCGACAATTTCTAGAGCACATAGGACATCCTCCTTAAAGAACAAAAGAAAAAGAAATGAGAACAGAACACTTTTTGTGCGAAAATGACCACTATCCCTCCCAGGCATGTTATGTGTAACGTGAAATTTGTAAATTGTACGAGGAAACGCTCCTCCAGGTTAAGGGTTGCCTAAGAGCGTCTCAATTGTATTTTCGAATGTTTGATGTCGATTATAAATCATTTCTCTTCCTGGTTTTGTGAGTTTATCAGTTCGTATCTATTGTAAATTTTTTCCAGGGTGCTAGATATTCTTGGCTGGTAAGCTGCTCTCAAGGTTACTAGCTATTTTCAAGATTTTGCAGTATCCCTCAGATTTGACTCACTGACTTCGGCTACAGGATTCCAAAGATGGGAGGCAAGGACCTTGACCTACATGTTTTGTACGTTGAAGTTACACAGCGAGGTGGTCTGCAACAGGTACTCCATCACAGATTTCTCATTTCAGTTTCTATCTCTTCTTGTTTTATGTTGGCCACCTTTTTCCAGATGGTAGTTTTTCACATCCTACATCACTGTTATGAGTTAAATTTACGGACTTTGATTTGATTATTTAACTGAATTCTTCTCACATATTCTGCTTAGTTTATCATTGTTAAGCACCATCTCTTATCATATCATTGGGGACGAATTATATGTACCGTTTCTTAATCATTACGATTTCCCTGCAATTATTTGACGACCAGGTCATATCTCTCCTGATATCTTCCTTTCTCTGTCGTCATCCTCGTTCTCCCTTAAGATAATTCTTCTCCATATTGTTCATTTATTGCCGTCGCTCTAGTGAGTTTTCTGAAGTGACTTCCTCCGACGGTGGGTTGAACAGTTGGGTATTGTTTGCCTTTACAATTTAACTTGAGTTAGATGGCTTGCTTAGCAGAGAAAAATCACAAGCAGGTGCAGCTTCCTGTTTTGCGGCATTGTTACTTTTATGTAGATGGTTCTGACATATAACTTACAGGTTATCAAGGACAGAAAGTGGAAGGAAATCACAGGGGCTTTTAACTTTCCTCGCACTACCACAAGTGCCTCGTATGTCTTGCGCAAATACTACATCACATTACTTCATCATTATGAGCAATTATATTTTTTTGGTTCTAGGGGTCTCCTCGTAGCTCCTCCAAGTAAGCACTCGAAGCTTTTACCGAACTACTCATTTTATTTCTCTGTAACATCTGATTACTGTTCAAGTTGTAGCCAGTGACGCATATCATTTTCCCTTTCTGCTTGTGCAAGCTAGATTGGAGGTTGACAGAAATGACGCTTCACATAAGAGCCTCTGTAGAGCTTAGGCTCAATCGATCTGGATTGCAACAACAGAAAGATAAGCATGCCATTATAGTTATGCCGCTATAGTTATGATACTTAAAACACTCCGTGAACTCCCTTTTTTTTTTTTTTTTTTTTTTTTTTTTGTCCTTTGTAGAAGTTTGCTCCAATCTTTACCACCCCTTTGTATTTGCAGCACCACTACCTGCACCTACCCCTGTTACTGTGAAGCAAATTGAGTACGCCCCTGCCGTGGAGCCACAGGTACATTCAGAGGAGCCGGAAGTAATTAATACAGAAGGGAAGAAAGTTCGCAAGAGGAAGCTTACTCCAATATTGCCGGCAATGGCACCAGGTTTGTGCACTCTTATCAATATTTGAAACTGACAAATTTCATGGTGTCCTCTCTCTTGACTTGTTTTAATCTTGTTTTTAGGATTGTTGCGAAAAGAGAAAGTAATGATGAGCTCCAGAAGTTTGAGCCTTGCATATAGGGCACTTCATGCTTGTTTCACAGAAAAGAAACAATGTATCTGTTCTGCAGTGAATCCAGTATCTGCAGTTGGAAATGCTGTAAGTGGCGCGATTGAAGGTAAATTTGAGGACGGTTACTTGGTTACTGTAACGGTTGGTACTGAGAAGCTGAGAGGAGTTATCTATCATATTCCACCCGGACAGCGTGTTCCCCAGCATGCACAGGTTGTAAATTATGCGCTATCACCTGGTGCTGAGGTAACGATACCTGAAAATGTGGTGCCTGAGAAAATTCGAAAACGGAAACTAAGAGAGGAGCTTAAAAAGGATCCGAATGCTCCTCGATCTAACCGGACAGGGTATAACTTTTTTTTTGCCGAAGAACGAGCAAAACTTAAAGTCATTTATCCGGACAAGGAAAGGGAATTGAGCCGCATGATTGGCGACGCTTGGAATAGCCTTACCGAGGAACAAAAATTGGTATAAAAAATGCAGTTATCTATTCATCAGTTCCTACTTGTCAATTCCGTATCTTAAGTGCTCTCTTCCTTCATTTTGTCAAGCTTAGCGGTATGAGTAATGTCTTTGTCTATTCTAGAGTTAATCCCTATTTGAACGGAAGAGGTGAGTCCTAAGTGCTTGTGTGTTTGCGTTGATGTAGCCATATCAAGAGAAAGGAGTCAAGGACAAGGAAAGGTACGAGAAAGAAATGCGTGAATATAAGCAGTTGAAAATTTCCCAGACTTTAGGCAGTGCTATTCCAGAAGAAGTACGTCGAGAAGCAGTTGAAGTGGCAACTGCAAATGCTGGGGATGGTGATTATAATGTCGCGGCAGTGGAGCCCCATCTGAGACCAGCTGTGGTTCCAGCTACTCCACCCGCAACTTGTTTTTATGAATTCCCGTCGACCCAGCAGCTTGTCAACTCATCACAATCTGCACCTGACCAACACTCTACACATCAGTATTTTCCACATCATTTCACCAATCCCCTTCATAGCACCACAGGAACCACACTTCCTTCCTCTGCTCAGCAGCATCCTTACCCAGATCACAAAAAGGTTGGCCCTCAAGGAAATCAAGGTTCTAAAAGCCAACCAGTAGCTCATCAGTTCATGGACTGATTACAATTTTCTGTGCATATCTGACGTTCCGGCCATTAAAATGCTTTGCGGTAAACGGAAATCTGGATGTACTAAGCATTCCGTAATCGACTACCTCATGAAGACGTTGCCGGCCCTGGTAAGCAAGCTTACCCAATTTTGATTCTTTCTGGTAGTGTTGCTCATAATAGTCCCACGATGTGATGCAGGTTTCTATCTCAAACACTTAGTGGTGTTCATATATATGTTAATCATCTGACAACGTAGGGTACAGACGAAACCTCTTATTTTGAGCGAAGAAAGAATATGCAGGCTAGTGGTTTGGCTTCGATCATACCGCCAGAATGTGAAAATTGCCTTACTTTTTGACGTTGTCTTTTGATCGAGGCCCACATTCGGGAGGGTTTTGGGATTGTGGCTTGATTTTGCAGTGAAGTCTGCATTTTAAAATTTTACCCCATGTTTCAATA